TTCGGAGTAGGCTATTCTTTAATAGATGTAATTTTCGTAGGATTAATCCGGATGCTGTCGACTCTTATAATAAAGCTAAGGAATTTAGTTTCCTTAACGTAAAATTTACATCTCTTTAGGTTTACCTTAAGTCTCTATTCTTAAAGCTTAGTTAAGACTTATTATACATCTTTTACGTATTATTCTAGGTTTCCTTCTATATAGATTAGGATATCGTCGAGGTATACGATAACGGTCCTATCTAAGTATTCTCGTAGCGTGTTATTAATTATTATCTAATAGGTAGCTAGGGCGTTAGTAAGACTAAATAGTATAACTAGGTACTTATAGTGCCCGTAGCGTGTTCGAAACGCGGTCTTCTATTCTTCTCCCTCCTTTATTCGGATGAGGTTATAGGCTCCTTTAAGATTAATCTTTAAAAACTACTTAGCCTTCGAAAGGCGGTCTTATAGTTCTTTAATATTTAGTAATAAGTAACGATTCTTAATAGTAATATCGTTAATCTTTCGGTAATCGACGTATAGTTATAAGCTACCGTCTTTCTTTAGTATAAACAGAATCGGGTAACCTATAGGGGATTCTAATTTTCGGATAAATCCTTATACTAAGTTCTCGTCTAGGTATTCTCGAAGCGTCTTAAGTTCTTTTTCGGATAACGTATAGATAGGTCTAAATGTAGGTTACTTCCCTAGTTCGAGTCTAATTTCGTAATCCTACGGCTAATGCCTAGGTAATGCGTTTACGTTCTCCTCTTCCTAAAATAAGCGTTTCTATTTACTATATTATTTAGGGATATTAGAAGGTACGTAACTTCCTTTAATAACTCTCGCTTCGTAACCCGTCTAACCTCTAAGATCGGTGCCTATAGAGCCGGTATTATGCTTCTTTACTAATACCTTAGTTAAGGTAATAGTAATATATACTATTATAGCCTATTTTCGCCCTTTCCTCTTATCTACTACTAAACGCTGCCGGTACGTAGGTCGCGAGTCGACTACGTAGTCGCACTCCTCGAACCTTAATAATCGTAATATCTAATCGATTACTAGGTTATATTACCTTAACTAGGGTATACCTAGGACGATATAGTAATTAGCTATTTCTATAACGTTTAAGATAATATCCTTATAGTGCCGTTAGGTAATAATTCTTAGAGGTACCGTTTCCTCTAATACGCTAGGTAACGCTAAGCCGTCTACCGCTATTAGGTCGTATTCGTATTCTTTCGATTAGGTAGCTATTCTAAATCGAGCGACTGCTAATATAGATATAAAGTTTCCGCTTACTCCGGAATCTATTATCGCGTATAGTCGTTTTCCTTATACGGTAATTAGTATATAAAACACCGTTATTAATAATGTTAATACTAGGGCTTAGATCGTGTTATATTCTCGTTAGCTGCCCTTACTACGAGAATCTACTCTTTTCCCAAATCGATATTAATAGGTAGGTTCGTAAAGGTAACTTTACCGTTACTTTTAGTTCCTATTTCGAGTTCGTAGAGGTATTGTTTATATAGCACTCGTTACTATTATTAAGCTTATCCGTATCGAGATCGTAGTAAATTAATGCTATCTCGTATACTTCTATTAATACGTTCTCTAGTAGGAATAATATATCCTATAGGTATAAAGGTACTTCCGAGTAGCGGCCTTTCCTAAATAAAAGCCTTAAAGTCGTAGTTAACTACTACTAATCGATGTTCCTAAAATGCCTTACGGATCTAATCTAGCATATTATCGAAGTTATAAGGGTATAAGAATCTTTATCTGTTAATCTCTAGGAAGGCTTCCTCTCTATATTTTATTATAACGTTAAATATCTTAGTAAAATACGATAGAATATAAGTATAAAGTACTTCGATACTTTCCTTACTATTATAAAGGTAATTATAGTCGTTATCGATAGATTCTTCTTCGGATTCCTCCTTACTATCGGTAGTATCCTCCTTAGGATTACTTTTAATATTATCTTCTTTGATTTCTCCTTCCTTAAGGTTATCTTTTCTAGTAATAACATTATAGTAGCCTTTTCCTCTACCCTTTAGCTAAGAGGGAAACTATCTAGATCCTATCTTAGAACTATAGTAGATTAAGTAGCTATCGTTATAGTATACGGTCTAGCTAAGCCTTCTATAGTAATTATATTAAAGATTCTTAATCTTCGGTTTTAGCTCCTCGAGTTCCTTACGCTCTAGCCCGACGTTAGGGCGGCGCTATATTATATTAAATTGTCTTTAAGGCACTTTATTTTTTAAATGATAATCCCTTACTATATAGCCTTTCTTACTACATCTATAGTAAGTTATCGAACTCTTCCCTTTAAACTACTTCTTTCTATTCGATCGTCGATCTTCGGTAATGTCTAGTTCTATTAGTTAGGGTCTATAGGGATCCTAGTACTAGTTACGTCTACCGAAGTTGTTCTTTTCTTTATAATTACAGTATAGGACGTAACTAGACTTACCTCGAAGGGCTACGTCGTAGCGTCGTTCTATAGTACGTTCGTAAAGATTATCGTCGATTTCGATCATTATACGGATAAGATTATCTAGATCTTCGATTTTTATACTAGCTCGTATAAGTTCGTCTTTAACATTTTCCTTTAGACTACGTCGATATATAGTTATAAGGGCGGAATTATCCTAATCGGTAACTTAGGCGTACTCCTAAAACTTAGCGGTATATTCGGATGCTAAAGTGTACTAACGGATGTACTAAATAAGGCGTATAGTAACCTTATCTTCGTTAGAGATGCTAAAGATATAGCGTATCTCGGTCTTAAACTTAATAAAGCTTATTATAATCCCGTTAGTATCCTTACGTTTATCGAGGAACTTCTAAAGCATCGGTTTTATCTAGTGCTAGGCTCTTCTATAGAGGTAGGTACTAGTAAAGATAGTCTTCTTAGCTTCCTCTATAAGAGTAAAGATGTAGTAAAGATCTATCTAGTTAAGCTAATCGTTAAGCCCCTAGCGGTCTCTATAGTAGAGGTCGGGCTTAGCGACTTTACTGTCGTTATAAGTAGTGCTAGTAGAGCGGTTTCTACTAGCCTCGCTAGGTGTACCTCTCGGGGTAGTATTACTTAAGTAACTTATTCTAAGGGCGTTTAAAGTTATTATAGCTAACTATCTAGGATAAGATAATAGGTTATAGGGTTAGACTCGTAAAGCGGAGTGTTAAGCGAAGTAAAGCAGGTAGTATATAAAGTAGTATATACTAAAGGGACTGTTAGAATAACTAATTAAGTTAAACGTAGGACTACCTAAGGTCGTCCTACCTACCTATATACTTAATAGATAATAAGTGTATATANNTTNCTCTATATNCTCTATTATNCTCTATAAAGNAGAGTAGNAGAGNAGNGNAGAGTAGATAGCGTGTTATATAGAGTGCTCTATTCCGCTAAGGTGCGGGGAACTATAGAGTAGGCTGTATAACCCTATCCGAGGTAGGATCGTAATAGCCGCCTTATATAACTAGTAACTAGTAAGCTTTTCTAGTAATAATTAGATATACGTTATAGTACTTTACTATATAAAATATATAGATTAGTTTAAGCGTATAAGAAAGGATTAAAAGCGCTTAACTAGCTATAATTATACGTTAAATAAGAGGCGTATCTACTTAATAGTTAAAAAGCGCTAGCGCGTATAGTAGCGCGAAACTAAAACCTTCGGAACTAAGAATAAGATAGATTATATAGTTAGTATAAATCGATTTATTAAAGAGGTATAATAGTATTAAAAAGAATTATATAGCTGATCGACGTACTATAAAGGCTTAGTAATATTATTGCTATTATATAAAGTATAACTAAAGCGTATAAGTACGCGGTATACGTAATAATATAAGACTAATAAATTAAGTAAGGGGGATAGTATCTTAGAGGATTTTAAGAGACTTAAAGGTACTAAGACTTTTTTTCGAGTCTTAATCTAATATACTTAAGTCCGGCTAAGTATAAGTAAGAAAGAAGTTTCGAGGTTTATATTATATAATATTTATCTATTCGCGTAAAGTAGGGAAGTTATCTATATAATCCGTAGACCCTAAGTATATAAAGTAGAAAAGAAGTAGGTTAATATATATATTATATTTCGGAGGTATACTTATTAAACGACTGCTACTTAAGCAAAGGTTACGTTGTAAGCGAGGTACTTCCGAAATGCTCTACCATCTACGGGGCTACGCGACTATTAATAGAACCCCTATATAGTAAAAAATCAAGTACTGGAATTGTTTAAGTTTCATTAGGCGACTTCCTAGAGGTATTTCCTTCTTCTAGACATAGTACTAACATCTGAGTGCACGTCAATGATGCTGACAAAATCACCCTGCATCACTCGGGAGAAGGTCACTAAATTCCGCCGCAAAGTGCGGGGCTCAACTCTCGCCAAAATTTCACTCAGCTTTGCCTGCTTTACGTCGATAGCCTCGATCTTCCTGCCCGAGGGGCCATGCCTTCAGTGCGACACATACCAGACAGCAAACGACGATCTCGTACGGGATGCCTGACTTGTCGCAAGCGGCGGAGGAAATGTAAGAACACCCTCCTTCTATGCATCACGCGATCCCAGCAGACCGCATCAGCTTTGTTGCAGTTTTCGTCAGCAGTTACTGAGAGCTGAACCAGGCGATGAGCGGAAGCCAAACTGTCGGAACTGTTCTACCAGGAGCGTGACATGCGAATATGGCGACTGGACATTTGTATCTGATGGGCCGCCAACATCTCGCGCAGATGATGACACGTCGCACGTGAGAGTCGACGATAACGTCCACGCTATCGTAGCATCGACTCCAATGGCAACACCGTCATTGCCAGACGACATCATCAGCTACAATGAGGCTGGCGGTATTAGTCCATTCCTCAGCCATGTCCAGAAGCCCTCGACCCCTCAATCTATCGCTTCTACTACCGGAACAGTGGCTGTCGCTACACAGAGTGCCACTGGCATCGGCCCGAATACAGCCTGGACATCGAATGAGTTCGCGGATGACATGACCTATGCACAGAGCATACCTCGGCAGACAATTTATGAGCGCTCGTGGCAGCAGCGTTCAATCAACAGGCAATCACCTATGCTACACTTCCGATATCACGTGGTACCTTGGATTGAGTCGAACGACTGCAAGTCACTGTTCGGTCCAGCAATAATGTCTTTAGCGCGCGACAGCAAGATCATCTTTGACTGCATATCCACTTGCATGCGATCGCGAGACGACAATCTTGATCTAGAACACATCACGTCTGCTGGCTTAACAGCGCCTTCGGGACTTCTGGAACGACTCGTTCACGAGGACCCATTTACCACAAACGTCGGATATGCGCTTCTTGCGATTAGCAGCGTGTACAACACACCGCCTTCCGACTGGTCCATCATCGCCTCTACTCGTGAACCGCGTTTGGCTGAGGCTGTCCTATCGAGTGGCGGGTTCGAACTTACACTAGAGCCATTGAAGTCGCTCCTTCGATTGCAGTTGAAAGTGGGTAAGTATTGATAATATCGAGAGATCGTCGAGATCATACTGTAGCATAGGACGTACAGATCTCGCAGCCTCCATTATGACAAGCAAGGCTCCTTCGGCCGATATCGTTATTCCCCTGATAGATGTCATGATCAGCAACGCAGGTGATCCTCCGTCATCTCACGACGACTGTCTTTGTTGCCTTGCACTCTCTCTGCGTCTGGTACACTTCGAGTTAGTTCCCATGCTATCTGGTTTCCACGAATCGTCTTTACAGCCTGTCGGTCCACACATCTCCAGATGGGATCGGTGGTATGAACTCTGGAGTAGATGTATGGCATGGTTTCAGGACCGACCTCGTAAGATGAAGCCTGTGCTTGAAAGTTCGGATGAAGATCCTAGTGACAAGCAACCCTTCCCCATTGATGTGTTTACCAGCGTCACCGCTTTGCAAGCAAATCTCGTCATGCACATCTCAGCAGTGATTCTGCTATCACAAAAACCCCGTCTTACAAACGTAACGTCGACCTTCCAGCGCCTCGGATCACGAAGTTGGCACATTCAGAAGATTACAGGTATGCTGGTTGGTAATCATTTCAATGAACAGTGGGACCCGATAGTCATTGCTGCACTGCTTTCTGTCGCCAAGGAACTGTCGCACCCCTCCCAGCAGGAAGCGCTTCTATCATGCTTCAACGAAATCTCGAGGACAACACGGATTCCCATCGAAAAGGATCTCACCGAACTTCGTACATGCTGGCAGTCAATCCGAAAGCATGACCCACCAAATTTGTCGCCTGCATTCTGAGTTGAAGTGATGTGGCCACGCAATAGAGAAACGACATTCTGCCATCCGACAAGCGTCGCCGCTACTCCTCTCATCAATTAACGATCGAGATACATAGTACCAAGATAATGGTGTTTCAAACCATCTCTTGAGTCAATCCCCAGATCAACTCGTCTATTCACGGTATTGATACTTGCGCTTCGAATCTGAAGACTGTCTGGGCAGGAGCGAACGTGCGATTGGTGACAGCAGCACAGGTGTCAAACAAATGGTTACGAGAAGAGGCCTCGACATTGAGTGCAGATCACATGCCAACAAAGGTATCTCCAGCAGCGGCTATGTCCGCCACATCGACTTTCAGCGCTGGCACAAGACACTTTCACCCTCTCTGTTGTCATGCATGCATGGGGCTCGAGCTCCGCCCGCCCTAGCCTCGTCAACTTGTGCAAATGAAGTCACCTCCGTCCCGTGCAGTACCAGGTGCGACAAGTCGCTGTGTGCTTCTTCTAAAGACCGGAAAGCAGGAGCTGGGCTTAGCAGATCTGGCACTTCGACCGGTCCTTATGTCAGTGCTTGTAAGATAGTGTCAGGCATTTGCACCTGGGACCAGGATGATACGATTTTGACCAGCGCGTTCGTACATCTTGATAACGGCAGTGTTAGTTGTCGAGGGTTCAGTGCGACCTTGCCTGCGAATAATAATTGAGGTATCAACACCATATGGTTGTAGGCTATTCAGTAGCGTCAGCCCGCGAGCTTCTACGCCATCGACGCCGATCATGACCACTCTTGGACTTGCATTGTCCAGTGTGCGAGACCTCATAAATCTCACAAAAACAACCGCTTAGTTGACGCTTTCGTCCCCTGGAGAGGCTTCAGGGCAAGTCGATGTGAGTGTTCCGCCACACAACGGGTGATAGAAATTGCAGTAAGCAAGGCCGAGTTGAGAAAACCGATAACGCAGATAGTCGGTAGAGGTGAGACCAAAATCGAAGCTTCCGCAAAGTCCTGTCCTAGATGTGATCGTGTCGTTGCTTTACAACTGATTCTGTCTTGACTGGCGACTCTCGGAGCGTGCAATGCCGTGGGTCTGGATGACGCCCTGCAGCTACGGACATGAGTCCGACCAGTGGTAGTATGAGACTGGCTTCGCTTCAGCCAGTAAGGTGGAGTTCAACTGTGACTCCAACTACTACTTTGCAAAGACTGTAGAATCATGTCCCCAGTCAACGACTCCCTCGTATCCCCACTCGATCTCGAGGTCTCTCAGGCGCCATAACGCTGCCCATCCAGTCTCACGCTCGATGGCACCTAGTAGTTGAGCAACCTTTTGTCGCTCACCACGATGTGTGAGCAGCCTGCCTGCAGTGTAAAGAGGCTGAATCGAATTCACCATACTTCCTGGGTGTGGATTCGCACACGAGATGCCGCAGACTTGCCTCGCATGCCACAGCGACAAAGTTTGAGGGTCGAGACCGCTCCCCGGTGGCTGCATCTCTAGCATCAGGATACAGGCAGCATGATATACCTGGTTGCTCGAGATTGCTGCCCAGTGCGGAAAGATGATAGATGGGAAATCGAGCTGGACGTCGTCATCGACAAGAATCATAGGTCTCATGGCCGCGGGACGCTTATCGAGCCAAAAATGCAAATCTTCCCAAAGCTGTTGCCATTGTTGCGAGAAGGGTCGTTTGTCGCTGGAGTCGGTACGACCAAGCTCTAAGTAGCTTGTTCTGCGAAACTTCAGGTCGCAAACTCTCGCACACAAATATATCGCCCAGTTGGCATGAGCATCATGGGATTCTCGACTCTTTTCGTGAAAGAAAGACCTTACAATCTTCTCGCCATCTTCTGGATAGATCACAGACCGATCCAGGTCTGGTACCCATTTCTCGACTGCCAACACCACAGTCTCCGCGCCATCAGACGTGAAGCTTCCACAAAGCTCCATTCTGGCATAACACCAAAAGACGGCTTGCAGCAAACCACCTGAGAAGCCATGGACACCAAAGACTTGGAAGAGTGAAGCACAGCCTTCGACATGGCGCCTCCAGTTTCCCGTTTCGCTAGACATCAATTCAAAGACAGCAAGAATGCAAGCTGTCACCAACGTGACCGAGTCTTTCGCCTGGATTGCAGGTGCCAACAATCGTATACTTTCCTGATACAGTTCGAGGCTGTCGTAGCACCCTTGCACCATACCTCGCCTTTCCATCTGTCGCGACGAAAAGGCAAGGATAGCATAAAGCAAAGCAGGAGATCTCTGAGCGACAATGGGAACTTCAATCTGGAAGTGCTGCTCCTCGTCGAACTTGTCTAGCTGCGGCGCACACTCAATTATCCAGTTTTGGAGATAACGTACAAGGCGCGCTTGAGGTATCTTGACAGTTGCGGACGAAAAGTCCAAGCCTGGTGATGCTTCCGGCGCGCCGACTTTGACAAGATGAAGTTGGGTAGGAGAGAGGCCAGACAAGCCATTGAAGAGCACAGATCTCAGTTCCTCGTGGAGATTGTGGAACCGTGGATCCATCGACGGATCTTCTGACGCACGTGTCGCCATAACGCCTACCGGAAAGATCTAGTCAGGTGTCATGCATGGGATGCCGATCAGGTGCGAAGGGCGGCGCAGAAAAGATTATCAGCTCTCTGAGGGCCGAAGCTATACCCAAAAGGTGGGGTGTAGCCACGCTGGCGGCTCGGGTGCGACAGTAAGCGCTTGTGCCGCAGCCTTGCCGAGATCCGGCAAGCGAAGTCTTGTGTGCGGCACAAATTTGGCGCTCTCCATCGAAGCCAGAGTAGAAATGCATCCAGACGCTATGGCGATTTCATCGCGTGACATGCATTACTCCGAAGTACCAACCCCAAATGAGTCGTGGTAAAATGCAAAAGGTGAACGCATGGTTAGACATAATACGGAATCGCCGCTCCGCGACGCTCTGACACGAAGTCTGCTTCTTGAGCATCGTCATATCATGGCCAGGAGGCACTTCTCATGATCATTGCTTGTGGATTTGAACAAAGTGAATTGAGCAAACATGTGAATTGCAATTCGATGATGTAATGATGAAAGTCTGGATTCATCATCTGTCGCGGTTTTGATCTATTACCGCCGGCAGTAATCCCCATTCAAACCATCTGAACCTCTTCGACATGACCCTTTTCCCCTTTCTCTACCTTGATCGTCAGCATGCTGACCTCCTGCTTGGCTTCCCTAAGCAGCGCAGCATCTTTCTCGCCCGCCTGACTTTTGAAGACACGGTCCATCTCTTCCAGAGTGGCATTTTTTGTCTCAGGAAGGCAGAACCACACCCACACTATGGCGGCAGCAAGGAAGACGCTGAAGAAGATGTACGTGCCCCACTTCCATGACTTCAACATGGGAGGTACGAAGAACGCAATAGCAAAGTTGTTGAGCCAATTTGACGATGCGCCGATTGAAGCACCCTTCGCTCTGATGGAAAGAGGGAAGATCTCCGAAACAAGAGTCCATGAAACAGGTCCCCACGTAGCGCCGAAAGCAGCGATGTAGACCCAGATGAGTGCGACGGCGGTCCAGCCAGCAGCAACGTGGCTGGGCCAGTCGTGACTGAACTTGGCAACGATGACACCAACAATCACCATGGAGACGCCCATGACGGCAGAGCCTACCAGCAACATAGGCTTACGACCGACTCGGTCGATGATTAGCTATTTGTCTGGTCAGCGTTCAAGTTTCGCATAATCAAGATGTAAGAGCTTCACATACCATGGCAGGAATAGTGCTAATGAGGAACACGACACCGGTGACACCAGTGGCCAACAAAGCGTTCGTGCCGCCTGTGAGACCGAGACTGATGAAAACGTTCGAAGCATAATAAATGATCGCGTCAATTCCGGACCACTGTTGCCAGAACATGACAAGCCATGCGGTACAGATGCGTTTGAAGTTATCCTTTGATCGGAAGCACATACGGTATTGCGCAAACTGCTGTTTGAGGCGGCTCTGACGTTGCTCAGCGAGGTCAGGGAAGTCACGAGCGAATGCCTTCTGTTCGAACAGCGCTTCTGCCTTGATCTCAAGGTATTCGGCCTCAAGCTCCTCGTGCTCAACTGGGAGCTTGCGCAGCCATGCGAGCGTACGCCTGGCTTCCTCGTCACGGCCCATCTTGACCAACCATCTGGGCGAAAATGGCATGAACCAGATACCGAAAGCAAGGGCTACGGCAGGAATACCTTGGATGATCGAAGGCAGGCGCCATGCAAGATTCGACTGACCATCGCCGGTGCCACCGATGTAGTTGCTGCCGTACCCGACCCAGAAAGAAAGCATGATGCCAAGGATGGTTGCCAATTGATAGAAGGAGACAAGTAAACCCCTCATGTGAGGAGCGGAAAGTTCGGCATTGTAAAGCGGTCCGACACCACTGAACAGTCCAACGCCGACACCAGTGAAGAATCTACCAGCATACAAAAGTGATGACGAACCTGGTTGAGCACCAACGTAGAGGAAGCTGCCCAAAACAACCCAGCAGCAGGCCACAAACATGGTGTACTTTCTTGAGATGAGCTCGCTTAGAATGCCAGCGGTGAGAGATCCGAGAAGACCACCAAGTTGGAGGATAGAAGTGAGCCAGCCAGTTGCTCCAGCGGATTTAACAACGGTCGGGAAGCTCTCAGTGAATCTTGTCATGACCAAGGACTGGCCTAATTCGAGGGTCAGCTCTCAAATAATTTCAGCGTTCAGTCAAGGAGCTCGGCCTACCTAAGACACCTTGCTGGTAACCATATTCGAAACCACCGAGTCTGTTCAAGTATAAGTGACTGGCGCCGGACGCTGAGAAGTGCGATCTTACGAGGCGAACAAAGCGATGAACAGGACCTTGGGATTACCCCGGATCGATTGCCAGATTGTCGCGTTTGAGTGTGCGCCCATGGTTTCGGTAAGCAAAATGACTTGGAGTGATGTGCGATCGAAGACTGCTTCAAGGCGACCAGCTGATCTTTATATGACTCTCTTCTTGAGATCACCACGCGAAAGTGTTGCTGTGACACATGAACTAGCCCCAGACCCGCAATGCGCGCCCCGGAGTGGGATTTTTGCGGAGTCTTGTAGGGGGTCGTAGGCTATGACCCACGTTTTGGGAATAGTCTTCTCCGCCCCCGCTCCGGCTCGAAATCGTGGAGGGCGGCACCCTCCGACTAGCAAATGCGAGAATATCGCGAGGGGGTTTTAGGGTTTGTTGTGTTTTATGATCGACTACTATAGTGATATTGCCTTCATAACGCCACCTTTTCCTGCAACGCAGGTGCTTGTTCTGACATCTATCACTACATGCGGGGCCAGATAAGTGGCAAGAGATGGTACGATCTGGGGTAATCGAGTTTCGAGGCAGCAAAGTTGCTTCCAGTGCTGGTAGACCCGCAGGACTCTCCGAAATTTACACCAGTGCAATCACAAGAACGAGCATCAGACCAATGAGCTGTGTATCCATTCGGAAGCTAAGCGTAGCACCGCTGCTTGGACTGTACGGCTGTGGTGATGTGACATTGCCGTTGTCACTCCCTGGCCCAGCTCCCCCAGTCTCGTTGAACATGACCTTTTTCCCATCGGCAGTCCCGTAGCCGACAAGAATAAAGTCTTCTGTGATGGCGCTACCATTTTGAAACAAGAGTTTCTGCTGCGGGGTGCAGGTCTCGAGAATGTCCCAGAGGTAGCAAGATGGTGCGTCCGATTCATACTTGGTGGGTGGACCGATGGAGAGCAGAGCAGTCGAGTTGCCTGTTGTGGAGATGACCGACGAGTTTGAATTGCTTGCGGTCGAGGTCTGTCCGGTTGCGACGTCAAGATCAAAGATGACCCGGTTGAATATCTGATACGTAGTCTCGGGTTGGTAGTAGGAAACTATAAACTTGTTAGAAGTGCGACAACGATGCAGAAAGAAGCCTGATACGTACCTTCATGACCAGCTTGGAATACTCGGGTGAATGACAGATTCCCATACTGCCGTGTCAATCCACCGGTGTATGAAGAATTGGTCTCGAAATTGGTGTAGCCTGCCTGACCAAAGCCAGTGGATGCACTTGAATTGATTGCAAGACTGATAGCTTCGCCACCAAACCCTTTCACAAGTTGTCAGCCGAGAAAAAACTATGTAAGACGACTACGTGACTCACAGTTGCATTGATAGTCGCGATCGCCATACATGAGAGAGACTTTGACTCCGCGATCGAGCAATTGGCCAAGGATGGCAAGGTTGTTGCCTTTGATGAAGTCACCTGCAACGCCGAACTCAGTTGCGATGGTCTCTGAGAACCCAGTAAAGTTCAGTGGGACGCCAAGATCTGCTTGTACAGATGCATTGTTCAAGTAGCCAGCTGCCCATCGGGGTGGGAAGTTATGAACGAAAGGTGATGCGATATCGAAGTGGAAGACCTAGTCGGAGCCTCTTGTCAGCATCATATTCCTGATCGGATTGAAGGTCAGCTACTTACATCTGTACCCTCGACAGCACCAAGCGAAGTCTCTCTTGCGACAGTTGCAAAGCAGTATTGGTATGCTTTACCACAAGCATTGTTTACGTCGGTCTGATTGCCCCAGCCGTCAGGGTCCAAATTCTTTGCAAGGTTCCTGCAACTCATGGCGTAGTCCAGACAATCTGGCAGTGCTTCCATGGCCAATTGATATTGTGTATCGTTGAATATCTTGATTCCATAGGTGTTGTTGGCAGCCATGACAGGATAGAAAGGTAGCTGGGTCTCGGCATCGATACAGGCGTTGATAAGCCCGACTGATTCGATATTCAAGATTGTGGCATTGATTTCGCCAGCGTTGATACGATCGTTCTGCTTGTAGAAGTAATCGGCAAATGTAGGGACCCAGTGGCCGCCGTAAGATTCACCCCAGATGTTCAACTTGTCTTTTTGACCCTCGTATCCAGGAAAACTACCTGACCGTCAGTGTTTTGATAATCTGGAGAATGTAGTTTGTCCTCACTCTTCTAGCCAGATCTGCATGAAATCCCAGAATGCTGGCGCGACAGCCATGCTACTGTTTGGTGCCAAGGAAGAGTTGCCCGATGAGAAGACACCTGCAAGTGTCGTATCGTTTGTCTCAAGTTGAGCGGGTAGTACGGTGAAGGGCGAAAGAGGCTCTGCGATGACACCAGGGCGCAAAGTGTCATACGAGAATCCAGTCTGTACCGGCTGGTCAATGTATAGCATATTGACTCTGTCATTCCACGACCATGGGTTGTTGACAGCGGTCCTGGAATCATTCAGCAGATTACAAGGGCCGTTTTCATTCACGGCGGAGACTGAAGTCGGTGCACCAGGGCCTCCTTGTATCCACAGTGATAGGGGAGCATTCTCGGGATCGTGTCGGGCTTCGAAGAACCAGAACCACGTGTGAGTCGCGTAGCTACGACCCTCTTCCGGTGAAGGTGGCAGATTGACATACCCGCTCCAAGCTCTGACACCGTCGGTGGTCTCACAGATTGAAGTTTCCTTGAACGAGATCGACGCGCCCTGATAGGTGGTTGAGTTGAGGTATGCCGAACCCTTGGGTTCTGGTGGAGACTGAGCCAAAGCATTGAGTGCGAGAAGCGACGTAGCCGCGACCATTGGGAGCCAGTGCTTGAGCATGATCATGGTTCTAACAGCCAAAGAGGCGAAATAAGCTCAGCGCGGTTCAAAGAAGCAAACACTGCGCTGGTGAGTGGTTTCAATAATTCCAGGCAATCGGAGTGTGTCCATACTTGAATCGAGGCCACAAGTCACTCTTATACCCTGTGTGTACTGGCAGGACTTGGTCGATGCTTTTGGTATGCACAGCAAATGGCGGGGCGAAGCATATCAAAGAGGTGATCTGCAAAGGATTTGATCCTCCAGGAAGCTGAGCTGTTGGTCTTGGCGGAAAACCATTGGCCTAGTCGGATCACCTTCTCACTGGTCTGCTCGGACAAGCAGCGATCCTCGCAAACACGAGTAAGAGACCGGTCTAAGTAAGGAGATAAGTAGATCATAGTCAAGTCAAAAGTCATCTCTGTTCCCTGAGTGGCCAACTTCGCCAATAGGGAATTAATGCAAGCTGGTTGTCGCTTACACATTCAGGACACTCAGAAACGTAGCACATGTCTGAATCAGTAAGATATTTTTCACCAGACTCCTCTAGCGAACAAGCTCGAGATGCCGTCAAGATCTCGACTTGCTGCAAGATTTGATTGCTCGATAGCTCAGCACGAGCACGAGCCATTATCGCCCTCAGTATTGAGTCTTACACCATAATGACTACGTCTCAATTTAACCGCCGAGGACTTGATCGTGACAGAACTATTCAACCTCCTTCCAAAGTGCTTCAAGGTATGCGATCCTCGCAAAATCTCCATGTCCCTGACTTGCAATAGCATTCGCCTGCTGCCCATACGCGGCTCCCTCCACCCCCCACGGAGTAGCATACCCGTAACCAACACTCGAGTTACCATATGTGGTCGTGTAAGCAGGAACAGGCCCGTAATGTATTCCGTTTGCGACACTCGCAGTCATGTTGAGGTGATTGTAGAAGTTGCTATTCCGATTCAATCGCTGTTGCTGGAACAATCGATTCTGAGCTGCAGCTTCCAGCCTGTTCATCTCAGGAATGGTTTGGAGGAACACTTGGGTGCGATGGTTGCGGTAGTCTATGAATTGTGCGAGGGCAGTTTCATCAGGGGCGTAGTTGCCTTGGCTATCTTTTATACCCTGAGCGACACTAGCTTGCCATACTTGTCGCCAGCGTCCTCGCATGTTGGCGGAGTAGAGGTCGCAAAGATGCTTGCCTGGAGTGATTTGTTGCTGGAAAATATGCGAGAGAGGTTTATCGCGCAGTACATCCTCATAACATGACGGACACACGCTCATGGGGTCGCCTCTCAGACCAACACGCCAGAATCGAGCCATCTGCTGTTTGATACCTGTACACAGCGAAAGTGAAGATGTGCGACGGATGTGGGAGAAAAGCTGTTCTCTGTCAGGCATATCCGTTGCAATAAGATATCGGATGATCAGGGGTCCGATCTTTTGAGACTCGAGCGAAAAGTCACATCCCTTGGTAGTACCAGCAGGCACTGGCTTCTGCGGTTCGAAGAAAGATTCCATGCGGAAGGCGCAGATCCAGCCCGTGTAGCAGGTGGGGCAGATGTCAAAATTGTCGCAGCCTCCTTTGATCGTGTACCACTGCACGCCAGTCATGCCCGAGCTCTTGCAAAGTGGAGTCTGCGACTGTACTCTGCAGGTGTCCCAGAAAATGCTATTCTTCTCATATCCCAGCGCAGCTCCGTATGCCACCTTCAAAGGAGGTATAGCAAGGTCGCAGAATAGATCCTTGTTGAAAGACTTTGGTCCGAAGTCAGACTCGAAAGTCGTGAAACAGACCTGATCCATATAGCATGTCTCACACACATCAAGGTCGTACAAACGAGCCGAAGTGCCGTACCAATTACGGCTGCTCGAGTTTACCACCGCCATTCCATTGCACGGTGGCTTACTCAAACGCGTATTCGCTGCAGCGACAAACTTCAGCCAGTCATTAGACTTCTCATACTCGGATAATGCTCTGTTGATGTATGGGATAGGAATATCGCATGCCCAGGTGATATCTTGTGGTTGTTCAGTCCCTGAAAGCACGAAGCGACTGTCGAAATTTGAGCCGACGATGTTTGCACTGTAGCAAGCTTCGCATGCGATCATTCCAGGAATAGCATCATGTCTTGCCTGGTACCACTTCATTCTGCCAGCTGCTGAATCTGATCCTGCGATACCAGCCACACCACGACAATTGGGTACCCTTACCATGGCTTCCATGTACATCTTGACATACTGGAGATCATTTGTGCCCAGAGCTTGAGGCCAAAGTCGATCAGTCATGTGTAGGTGGCCAAACATACACCGAGCAGCATCCGTTTGACCAGGTTCCAGCTTGCCAGTAAAGTCCAGCTCGAAATTAGTGCCACGAATGTGGTACTCAAAGCATCTGCTACAGACGGAAAAGTTCGGCACGTCGATGTGTCTGAACCAGAATGCATCATGAGGCAAGTTCGAATCGTTCGGACACCCTCTCCCGATGAAGTAGCCTCTTCTTTGATCTCTGGGCAAGCACGAAGGCGGTGACGATGTGACAAAGAAGTTACCTGTGGGTGAGGGTCTCAGGTGAGAAGGATATTCTACTGCAGAGTCGGCCTTGCGTGTTCCTGAGTTCTGGTTCGACCTTCTGTCGTTTCTTACGGTATCGTCGTTTGTGAACAGGCCTTCAAATTTTTGGCCGAGATATTCCATGGCATCCGATCGGTGAAATGCATTGGAAGTACTCTGACCAAAAGGTTGTGATGGCTTCCGAGCCGGCAGTGGAGGTGGTCGATCTGATTGCGAATTGTTTGGTCGGGGCGGTAAGGGAGGTCTACTCATGGTAATTCTCAGCAAAGGATACAAAGCTGTTGCTGTGGGCAAGGAATGACAGTGGTTTCTGTCAGAAGATATGCCAGCCTCAATCAAGGCAGCGGGGGCAATCCAACGATATTTAAAAGCAAGCCTCACCCCACTCGGCAAAACAAGCCTCGTGTGCAGCCTGAAACGAGGTGACAGCTCGGAGTCGCCGAGAAGGAATTGCCAAGACTGGATGATCGACCGGGCTAATCAGTTCGAGGGTTCACAAAGCGATATACACCCCTTCTAGGGTGGCAAGCTACCTTTCTGGAAGTCATCGGCTTCGTATCATGCAATGGTCTCCGGAGTCGCCGAGAAGATCCACGTTCACGAATAGTCTGCAGCGAGTTTTGGGGACATGAATATTAGTTTTGGGGACATGAATATTCGTAAGGCGATCATACATAAATTAGTTAGTCATCATCAAGGTCATCATCCCAACCTAGAGCAGCGTAGATATCGTCAGGCTGACCCTTTGATCGTTCCTCTTCGTGACTGCGTTGTCCGATTCTTCCTTCGCGTCCAGCGCGCTCATCTCTTTGCGCTACCGTTGGAGCGATCTTGATCGGCGTTGCTGCTACACTCTCTTTAGCTTTGCCCTTGCCAAAATTCAAGGGCGGCGTGGGCTTGCTTGGAGTGATGCTAAAGCTGGGTCGCTGCGGCTTGCTTGGTGTCTTCAACAAAGTCGGACTCTCACGTAACGGTGATGAATCTCCTCTGTCACTTCCGATGAGTTTTGAGCTCTCCTCATCGTCGTCAGAATCAGCAGGAGCCAGATCGGCAAAGCCAACTCGAGGTTTCAAAGGGGTTTCGGCAAGGGCATTTTTGTGCCGAGGTCGATGGTCTGTAGCAGGTATCGCGTCATGATCATCGTCGTCGGAGGCCTCATTGACCGGAGAAAAGTGAGCAAATGACAAAGACTTTTGCTTGATGTTGGAAGACGGCACCATCGAAGGGCCAGAAGATGAGACCGACGGTTGGACGAATGATGGACCAGGTATGCGATGTGGCGTGGCGGCAATAGCAGAGTTCTTGTGACCATTCTTCGGAGTTGCAGCAACTTGAGCCATAGAAGAAGACTTTCGCTTCGAAAGTGGTGGTCTTGCTCGGCCTTCTGCCATGCGCTTTCGTTGCTCGACAGCATCCACAAACTCACCAGACACAGTGGCTCGGCTTGGCTTCTTCAAGGTCGAGATAGCATCCTTGAGTTTCTGCTCAACCTCTTGCTTCTTTCTCGCTTTGGCCTCGTTGGCAGCAGCCAGTGCACCAAAGTCGACTTCTCGTTGACGCAAACGATGCCTCTCCAGAACCTCACTCTTCCTTGCCAAAGCTGGTTGACTGTCGCGACGGATGGGTATGGACGACAGCGAGATGTCCGAAGTCTCACGCTTAATAGGAACAACTTGCGAGTCGGTGGCTGAGCGGCTGAAAGATCGAGGAGTTTTGGCTGGCGGCGGGAAGCTGTCTGTTGCGACACGAGCCAGTGTACGTCGGGCATTCATCTCAACGGTAGCCGTGACGTCTGCTTCAGAATGCTTGCGACTGGGCTTAGGCTTCGTGTTAGTCAAGGCACCTGGACCACCGAGCTTCTTGTTGACTGCTGAGGCGTGCTCATACGTGCGTGACATGTAGAATGGGATTATGACATCGATGCAGAAGTTGCTGAGCTGACTGGCACCGTCTTTTGCCGTCTTCCCAGCCTTGACACCGTCTCCCAACAGGTCGACGGTGTGCAGTGAGTGCCAGATACAGAGTTTGTCGACAAGCAACTCCAAGCTCAAAACGACTGTATCACCCTTCTTGCTTTTTGGCTGTGGCACTTCGTCTTGCAGCGTCTTGAAGTCCGGAAGCGCTTCGAGGCTGAGAATCTCTAGAGCGAGAACGACTTGCATAAACGTCTCACGCGTGCGAAGACTGGGGGTTCTCCGCTTCAATGTCTGCTCGGCCGTCTCGCCAGATGGCGCAGAGGTCTCGTCCTGGTACCACCACTTTGCAAAGGAGTCTGTCTCTTCTGGGAGTAGACCACACTTGTCGGGCTTCAGCTTCTTCTTGCGACTCTTTTTCTTTGCAGCAGGGGTATGATGCTGGTCGGGCAGTTGTGATGGCAGCTCTTTCAGAAGCTCAGGCAGTTTGTCGCGGTACTTTTTGTCGCTTGTCGAAGACGAGAGCAGCAGACTTCGTAGGAATTGGGTGAGGGCGGACAAGGAAGTTCCTTCGAGCTGACTTTTGGTGAAAGCGGCTCGCAAGCGCGCCAGCGGACCTTTGGCGAAGAAGGCGAGCGGCGTTCTGGAGAGGTAGAGTGTATCAAGGTATTGGGCGATGAAGCGACTCAGGACATGGTCGACGGTCTGGCACGTCTCCCCGGTAGGAATGGATTGGTCGATCGACAGTGGTACAGCGTGCGGGTCTGACAAGGGCAAGGGCTCGACAGGGTGCGAGTCGACACGGCAGAGCGAGAGACGAGGAGCTTTACGAGATGGCGCGCTGGACAAGACTGGGCCTGGGAGAGCTGCTGCCTGCCACCATGATTGAGGCGAAGAGTGGACGGGTCGGGCACGCAGCGATTGAGGCGTGGCTTGAGAGGGCACGAGCAGGGAGTCGATGTGGTACGGCTTCAGCCAGGTAGCAAGTCTGCACAAGGCATGTCTCTTTCCTCCGACTCTTTCCACTGCGTGCAGGACTTGGCTGGGCGAGTCGAGACAGGCGATGAGGACGAGGGGGAACGGCGGGTCGTCATGGTCGAGTTGTGGTAGACGGGCGGAGAAGAGGGTGGTGGGAGAGTCGGCGTTGTCGATGTAGCTCAAGGGCAAAGCAGCGCGAGGAAGCGACTTGAGGATGCGAAAGGACAGCGGCTTGTCATTGTTAACGGACTGGCTGGTGGTCAGCAGGCTGAAGACGTCTCACTCGTTCGACGATGCGCACCCGGACGACGAATGTCTGTGGTGGTCTAGCGTGTGGATGCACAGTCGGAGGGAGGCAACTCTCGGAGAAGGACTTTTGCAGTGGAATGCCTCCTCTTGGTGAGGGCTGCACTTGACGTGGCGCTTTCGCTGGCAGAGCGTCGCCGTCGCGTTTGCGCTTTCTGGACAGGAGTTTGTCGGCAAGCGTATTGACAGGAGGGGTGGTGGTAGTAATATCAGGATTCAGACGCGAAGAATAGACAGCATCGTTAACAATTGACATGGTAATAACATTTTCGGGAACGATCAGTGATTAAGCAATCGTCATGCAAAACATTGCCGCTCCATTGCATCGGCCGCGCTCGAATGTTTTCGTGACACGCGCCCCGTGCTTCGTTGAGCACAGGCCCTCCGCTTCCCACAACTTCTCCCTTCGCGCTCAGTCGACACCATCATCACATCTACCTCCAGTATCTCCCACTCTCTGAACATGAATATTTCTGCAGCCAGCCCGCCGTAGAAGAATTCATCTGCAGCCAAGGTAGGATCCTGAGGGGATAGACGATGGCTCTTCTTGGGTCGGGTGACTGCCCATCCTGGTGCTCACTTCCCCGCGTTGTCTTCAGCGTCATTGATGGCGCTCTCTGTTTCGTATCTGCATCGTTCTTAAACCAGTCCGATACGATTGACATTTCGAGCTTCAGTCTATCAATACCCACCTACCTACAGGATCCCCTTCGTCGATCGCATGTTTTTGGAAGAATTCTTGACCCTCGCCAGATCCAAAGTCATCCATAACTCCCTGCCATTGCTTTACCCTAAAAACCCTATGCATAGCAGCTGAAGCTCGCCGCATCCTGTCCGACTCTGCCATCTCTTACCAGCCAGAAGATTCCTTGCTATCACTCTGACATAATGACCACGACGACCAGCGTAGAGATGAGGGTCCTTCCGAGACTGCTTCAGCTTCCGCTCGAACTGCGACAAGACATTTACTTGTACCTCTGCCCAGCGGATCCAATCTCGAATCCTATACCTACCGTCGGTATCACCTGTGTGTCTCATCGCCCGCCATCGACAGCACTTCTTTTGGCCAGTCGTGCCGTCAACGTCGATGTCCAAGCATACTATCACTCCATCGCAAACTGGAAACTCATCGCCTCACATGCCTTTAACTTCTACCGCATAGACCCGACTCTTTCAAACTTCGCCAGCTCGCGCCTTCTCACACGTATGCAAAAGGTGGAACTGGTCTTTTGGTTTGACGGCAGTCTGCTCAAAAGCTATCCTTCCCTGAAGCAAAAGATATATTGCGACGAGATCAGGAAGCGAGCAATCAGGGCGTGCGACATTTTGGCTACCGCACCAAACTTGAAGGTCCTCAGAGTGAGTTGGGTGGACACAACTACAAACACTCCTTTGGAAGAAAAGAAAAACGTCCTCGACGCCTTGTCCATTCTCGACGGCAAAGTCAGGTTCGAGATTGGTGTGCTGGAGTGGAGCAATGCTCAGGCTTCCCCTGAAAAGGACACGTTTGAGTCGCAGGTCAAGTCCTTGATTGAGGCTACGCTTCCTGTTGCTGCTTGTTGAGCGTCTCGTACTATTATGATTGATGAGTTATGACGGCGTTTCTTTCCATCGCCTTGAATATCGCAACTCGGACTCTTTGTCTTGAGCGCTACAACACACTCTGCCCGATTCTTTCAGCGGAACAGAGTTGTTCCTAAGTCTCGTCTCCCTCGTCCCTGCTACTCGTGATGCTCTTCTCGACATCCTTCTTGGCTCACAGCAACAACATTCAGCCGCTCGGCTTTCCTCTTTCGGCAACTCCATCATCTGCCCCGCAATCATCGTCCCCCCACCATGCACCCCGCTCCCCCATTTCCGCGTCCTCTCGGATACCTGCCCCTCTGAGTAAACATCCGGCAACTGGCAAAAAGGGAACATGAGGCCCATGCAAAGAGGTAGCGCAGCCCGTCCACTAGATCATGTAAGCAATAAAGAAAGCTCTCTCCTCTTTCCACCTTTCGTCATTGCCCTCGTTGCACCCACTTCCCACACTCAGCACCAGAATACGGCCTATGACCTCCAACGCAATGGCGACAAAACACTTCTTCCCCGACACCTCCAACCTCGTAGTCCGTGGCCTTGAATCTTTGGTTGCCAAAAATCCTCATCTCACCCTCGATGCTGCCAACAAAGTAGTCTACCTCCCCACGCACTCTACGAGAAAAGTCTCGGTTCTCTCCGGCGGAGGCGCAGGACATGAACCCGCATGGTGCGGCTATGTAGGCGACGGTCTTCTCTCCGCAGCAATCAGTGGAGAGGTCTTTGCTTCTCCATCGACGAAACAGATCATGGCTGCTGTGGAGGCCGTGCCGAGCGAGAGAGGCGTCATTCTGTGCATCACAAATTACACGGGAGACAATTTACATTTTGGACTCGCGAGGGAGAAGGTTGCTGGTAAAGGAGTCAAGGTGGGGATGTTGAGGATGACTGATGATGTGGGCTTGGGCAGGGAAAAAACGAGGAGATTGGGGAGGAGAGGTTTGGCTGGAAATATGTTTGGTGAGTTTCTTCTTGGTCATTTTGTCCTTTCCTTGGAGGTGGGAGCTGATGAGATACAACAGTACTCAAGCTTTGTGGTGCTGCTGCCGAGGAAGACTATGATTTTGATGCTTGTTTTACGATTGGTGAGAGTGTGAATGGGCATTGTGTAACCATTGGGTCGTCGTTGGATTATTGCCATATTCCTGGTCGAGCTCACCATGAGTCTCTGCCTGCAAACACGCTTTCGGTGGCTCAAGGTATTCATAACGAAGCTGTAAGTATACTGGCAGTCGTAAAGCCAGAGACAGGAAACTGACACAAAGGAAGGGCTTGTACGAAAAAGATATTCCTCCACCAGACGAGCTGATTCAAGAGCTGCTTCGTTACCTCCTCGACGAAAACGACAAAGATCGCGCCTTTGTAAAGTTTAGCCCCGACGACGAGGTCGCTCTTCTCATCAACAACTTCGGCGGCCTCTCGAATCTCGAACTCGAAGCCTTGACTACACTCACGATCAGTCACCTCAAACTAGACTGGAACATCACGCCCACCAGAGTCTACGCCCAACCTTTTGAGACATCACTCAACGCACCTGGCTTCAGCATTTCGTTGCTCAACCTGAGTGGAGTAGCTCGGGAAACAAAAATGGAGGTGGATACGCTATACTCTTTGCTGGACCGGGACACCAACGCACCTGCATGGCCGAGGAACTCGTATGGACAAGTCCGAGTCGACAGTCCGACGCAGACCAGAGCTTCGCTCACAGAACACGAGACTGTAGCCTTTGGTCCCAAGCTCGACGTCTCCGCACTCGAAATAGCGCTTCGAAGTGCGTGTGAGGCAGCCATAGCAGCCGAACCCGACATCACAAAATGGGACATTGTGATGGGCGACGGCGACTGCGGAGAAGCGGTTGAGGGAATGTGCAAAGGCGTGCTCTCTCAACTCTCTTCAGGGCTGATTTCCAAGCACGACGGAGCATTACTGCCCATCCTCGACGAGATTGAGAGCGGTGTAGAAGAGATTGGAGGAACACTGGGCGCCATCATCAGCATTTTACTCGCGTCCTGGACATCGGATCTTAAAAACACATATCGTGCTGATCCCTCCCTCGAGTTCGACGAGCACGTGGCTGGTCGCAGTGCTGGCAGGGCGTTGAAGAACCTGCAGACGTATACACCGGCACGAGTGGGTGGTCGCACAGTCATGGATACGCTGATCCCCTTTTGCGAGACGCTGTCCGCCGTGGGCGATTTGAAAGCAGCAGTGGTCGAGGCCGTCAAGGGCGCAGACAAGACGGAGGGCATGCCAGCAGTCTATGGACGAGCGACGTATGTTGGCGACAAGATCAGCGACAAGGACGTGCCCAGAGATCCTGGCGCATACGCAGCGTCGGTCTTCCTGCAAGGTCTGTGGGACGGGCTCAAGGACAAGCTGTAGGAAGCAGGCAATCTTGTATAGCGTATTGTTACAATCTTCTTCCCTTCTCTTTCCCCTCGTGCCGTGGCTTGCGCAATTGCTTTGTGTGCCGGGTATCCGTGTCTCTTGCTGTTCATTCCTAATCTTACAATCCTCCCTCATCTCCTCCCGTGCTCTTACTTCTTGCCTCCTTCTGCGGACTTTTTGACTTCCTCCTTCGGCGGTGCATGTCCAGCAGCAGCGGCAGCAGCCAGCGCCTGCGGTGTATTATCGTATCCCAGATTCTTCATCTCATCTGGCGCCATGAGGTTGTTGTCCATGCGACATTGCAAATAACTCTTGCTCAACATTCTGCACTCGTCGTCGTTCATACCTCGGTAGGCGCGCAGGCAGCGCAGGTATGATTTCATAATGTGTTGGCATTCGGCATCGTGGTCGAGCGGGAAAGAGCCTCGTTCGGGTCTGTGAGAGCGGGCGTCAGTGATGGGCGGATGAGGGTGTGAGGAATCGTGAGGCCGGAGGCGTACGGTGTGGGTTTTGCAATTACTTGACGACCGCCGGGTCCGCCGAATGTTGACATGATTGATGTGGTGAGTGTGTGGTTGGGGAGATGGACGGACGAAGGCGAGACGCTCGTCGACTCGTCGGAGCGGGAGAGCGCTTGGCCAGGGTGTTGACTCTGGCAACATTTTGAGAACTTAGCAAGCACGTCTTAACGATGATGAGGCTCAGGGACACAAACATCTTGATTCAGTGGCTCGGTGGCATCTTGTGTTCATGAGCGAGTTCTTTCGAGAGCTCCAGACACCTGATTGCGCTCATTTGATAAGATTCTGAGAAATCTTGAATAAACATTGGATTCCTGCGACTTGCATTGACAGTTGCCGTCCTCCAACCACGTAAACTGGCAATCATCCTTGCAGACTTTCAAGTGTCGTAGAGTTGCTAGCCAGTATCTCTGCCGGTCTCGACCAAGCCCGAATTCACCAGACAGTATTGGCATGAGAGTATCGCCCATCTGATGCGGGTCATTCATAGGAGGCCGATTCGTCAGAGCAAGTGGAGGCTTGGCGTCGGCCAATCGTAGGCTACCACCTCCGCATTCTTTCCGCTACGGCCTTTCGAGCTTCCTGACTTGCAACTCTGTCCCGCGCACTCCGTTCATCCTTCATGGTCCTTGGTCAGCCCGAATTGAATTTCCATCAGTCGTCGCATGGATCCAGTCGAATATCCATATGACTTGGGCGCATATAATAGACACGTCACGACTAGTAGTGACGAAGCTCAGAAATGGTTTGACCGTGGTTTGATATGGACGTATGCTTTCAACCATGAAGAAGCCATCGAGTGCTTTCGTCATGCCATTGACAATGACGTCGACTGCGCTTTAGCATACTGGGGTCTTGCGTATGCATCCGGACCAAATTACAACAAGCCTTGGGACTTTTTCGACGCGGACGATTTCATCAAGACCGTCAAACAAGCTGGTGATGCCGCAATCGAGGCCAAAGCTAGAGGGAAGCTTGCTTCACCGCTCGAGCAGGCTTTGATAGGAGCTCTTCAAACACGGTATCCTTCCGATCTGTCCAGCAACTATACCCAGGGCGACTTCAAAGCATGGAACACGTCATATGCAGACGCCATGCGTGTTGTCTACCAGCAATTCTCCGAAGATCTTGACGTTGCTACATTGTTTGCAGACGCGCTCATGAACGTCACCCCCTGGGGTCTGTGGGATCTAAAGACCGGTAAACCTGCTCCCAACGCCCTTACCTTGGAAGCCAAAGCCGTCTTAGAACGTGCGTTTGACCAAGCAGGGTCAGACCAACACCCTGGTCTCTTGCATATGTACATTCATCTGATGGAAATGTCAAATGGCCCTGAATCGGCTCTGTCCAAAGCCAATCTGTTGCGTGGTCTTGTCCCAGATGCTGGTCATCTACATCACATGCCTACTCACTTGGACATTCTCTGCGGCGACTACGAGTCTGCGGCAATCTGGAATCTCGAAGCTATCAGGGCAGACGAAAAGTTCCTGGACAGAGCTGGACCTGTCAACTTCTATACCCTTTACCGTTCTCACGACTATCATTTCCGGATCTACGCTGCAATGTTTGCTGGTCAGTCAAAAATTGCTTTGGAGAGTGTTGCAGGCCTTGAAGCATCACTGCCGGAAGACTTGCTCCGGGTTACATCACCTCCAATGGCGGATTGGCTAGAGGGCTTCTTGTCTGTACGCATACATGTCCTCATCAGATTTGGCAGATGGGAAGATGTTCTGGCTATACAATTGCCTGCCGACAAGCAACTGTTCTCAGTGACCACCGCATTCATACTGTATGGACGAGGCATCGCTTTTGCAGCCACTGGCCGTGTTCAAGAAGCCAGAATCGCGTTTCTGACATTCGACGCTGCCTTGGGCCAAGTGCCAGAGTCTCGCATGTTGTTCAACAATCGATGTGTCGACATCCTCCAAGTGGCCAGGACCATGCTGCGCGGAGAGATCGAGTATCGCGACCGCAACTTTGATCAGGCCTTCGAGCACCTGCAGAAATCAGTCGAGCTTGACGATAACCTTCCGTACGATGAGCCATGGGGATGGATGCAACCCACAAGACATGCTTTGGGAGCTTTGTTGCTCGAGCAAGGCAGGATTGAACAAGCTGAGAAGATATTCAAGGCTGATTTAGGCTTCGATAATACCCTACCGCGTGCCTTGCAACACCCAAACAATGTTTGGTCTTTGCATGGCTACAACGAGTGTCTTGTCAGGCTCGGACAGGCACATGAGGCTAGCAAAGTCGAGACGCAACTCGCAGCAGCGGTAGCGAGAGCGGATGTGCCAATCAAGTCATCATGCTTCTGTCGCAGCGGGAGATGAGCAGCTTTCTCGGCTGCGCTATCGCTCCAATATCGTTTAGCTCCGATGCGAATTCGGCTCGACCACGTTTCTCAAACGCGTTTGCCAATGGGTTGGGACCTGCATGGTTCTATAATCAGATCAGAGTTAGACCTGATTCCATCTAGGTCATCCTGGACGGCTGGGTTCCCCTTTTTGGCACATTCAGCTCTCGGAGTCCTGCACATGACAGGAGTATGGCGCGCGCGAAGGATCAGAAGCTGTATTGTTTGATCGTACGCGGAGTGCAAGCGGCGAATGGGATGCATGTACATGATCTTGTACCCCGCAAACTCTATTCTCATTGGGAATAAGCTTTATGGAAGCCAGATCCTACAGAGAAGTGTCAGCCGTGCCTGAAGATCCTGGAGTCAAGCTTCGAACAACGTATTCTGTGTCACAATCTTTCCTGGGTTTGGTGTCGCTGGTCGTCTCTTCCTGGCAGATCGTCTCTCATATATCTGGCTGCGGTCATATCATAGTACTTACACGCACTCGCAACTTCCTTAGCACAGCTGAAACCGCTGCATGTGAGCGGAGTGGGCAAAGGAAAAGCAGGCACAGAAAAGGGGCCGCATAATGGCATCGAGCTTGCAAAGGATTGTACCGAACGCCACTCGCCTGGCGCATTCCAAGATGAAGCGCCGGGGATATGAGGGCTGTAGTCTACATTCCTCACACTGCCCAAGACGCAGACCAAGAGTAGCATGTGATGACCTCAAGTCTGCACTTGGTAGCGCAGCGAGCTGACTGGCTCACATGCGCGGCATTGCTGCAGCTCAGCTACGCGGTGGGTAGACTTCGAAAACTTACCAATTAGTGCTGCTATACTAACTGCAGAAAGCAATTGGTCAAGGGCTGGACTGCCCTTCCACTCCGAAGGAGGACACGCGAGCCGCACGAAAATCAGCTGAGGTCATGTTTTCTGACCATTGTCCTGACGGATCGTACAGACTCGTGGAAAGAAAGTGAAGTCATGCTACTATAAAGTCCTAGTCCACAATCCACTCCAAAGCCGGTCATTCATCCCTCAACTACTCTTCAACGAACAAACTTGAAGAACGCTATGCGGTCTTCTTTCCTCTACGCGCTCCTCCCTACCCTGGTGCTTGCTGCTCCTCGTCCTCAAGACATCAATCTGGACGCAGTTGATGCAGCACCCGATCCGGTCATCGTCACTCCTGCGGTCGCTGTTGTGGCTCAGACTGCCACTGCTGCTGCAATTGCTGCACAGACCCTCTCTGCTGCCGCCGCAATCGCTACTGATCCAGCCAGCACTGATACTACTGGCATTGAGAAGAGAGATGATTCGGGATCTGTAGATCTCGCGGCTTGCAACTATTTTTGCGACAACACCACGGTCACGGTGTCTGCGCGCGATACCTCTATTGGTGGACTAGCCAAGCGAGATGTGCTCGAAGCCCGCGGTGTTACTTGCGCTAAACAGCCCACTGGTGCTGGGCCTGTGACTAGTCCAGACACCCCGGAAGCCTTCGCGGCAAACAAGGATCTGTCGGTAAGTGACTCGCGTCCAGTATTGCTGTAGCACACGAACTTACTCCTCCAACAGAAGGCCGCACAGAATGCCATCACCCCCGACGGATACGATAGCGCGTTCACCAATCTGCAAGGAGCTACGACTGGCAGCAACTTCCTCGTGCTGTACACTTTGAACAGTTATGACACACTTACTTGTGCGTCAAGGTGTGATCGCGACAATCGCTGCGTTGCTTTCAACGTCTACGTCGAGAGAGACCCTAGCTTGGACCCAGACCCCGACAAGTGTCCCTCGCCTGCTAGTACCACAAACTACAAGTGTACAACCTGGGGCGTCCCGGTTTCGTCCGAGGGAGCCACTAACACTGGACAATGGCGTGCTTCCTTCCAGATCCTTATGGCAGGCTCCAACGGCTACAACAAGAACGCAGCTCCCAACGCTATCAATGGTTTCAATGGTCCTTACAGCTACGGTGGTGCCATTCAAGCACCATTGGATGCCGAGGGCCACGATACATATGTGGGCTTCAAGTACTATCCATTTTCACAATCCCAGGGCTACACTCCCGGCACATGTGCAAGTGCCTGCAATGCTCAGACAGCCTACAACAAGGCTCACCCCGCAAAGGATGGTTCCTACAAGACCTGCGCATTCTTCAACTCCTACGTGTTGTCAAAGAATGGCGTGGCACAGGGTCTCTACTGCTCTATGTACAGCCAGACTTGGGCTGCTTCGTACGGCACCAACTACGTGAGTATCCAGATCCAACCATCACGACACTTAGGGAGCTAATCTTGCCTAGGGACAATACCGTGGCTCAGACAGATACACTGTAAGCGAAAGCTACGGATACTCAACGTATTTCAACCTGGCCGACAGCAACGGCAACAACCTATCTCAGCGCTACAGCTCTGCTGCGTTCTATTATGGCACTTCGCAGCCTACATACCAATATTATTTCGACAGCAACAGGAACTTGAGATCTTCGAGCACCGATCTTTTCTGCCTCTTTCCCTTCCAAGGCTTGGCTTATTCATACTTCTTGCAGCAATGCTCAGGCGGTCTGCAACCGGCTACTTGTACGATTGCAAGCGGCAACCTTCAATGTGTTGACTCGAGCGGCAAGCCATACAATTTCGCAGAATATTCTGGAGGCTACATCGTGACCTCTCAAAGCACACCCTCAAATCAGGTCACGGTCAAGGTGTCTCCAGTCAGTAGCTAAGCTCATCGCTCGGTCGTGCTTGTCCGATGGTTCATGAGTGACGTGTTTCGGCTAAACGCAATTGTCGACACATGTATCTACCTGTCTGTTTCTTAGCTTACAGTTTCTCGCAAATCGTTTAAAGCTCTTTTTTTCACAATGCTCATGTGCTTTGCGGATTTTACTTTGTGACTTACACGATGACGGAGCGCGAGACAGTGACGTCAACGTTGCACATCCTTCGCACATATTGGATTGCCATTCGAGCTCTCCGCAAAGGTGTGTCCTCCACCAAAACTCATTATGGATGAGAAACGTCTAATCCAAATTCAGCGTGATCCTGCGGATCCATGGCACGTTTCGCATGTCGCCGCCCAGATTCTTAACAATCAGATTCTCCTATACCCCAACCACAATGCGATAGCTGCTGCACGCCATCTCAACCTTCTTATACCATTCAATCGCACGATGAGACCTGACGAAACTGCGGAAGATATCGAAAGTTTTCTCTGGGAGTTATGGGAAGTTGTTGTTAACTTATCCCAAGCCTTCGACGGCAAGAATAGTGACAACGCTCAATCGTGTATCGTGGATGTTTTGGAGCAGTTGCAGAAGTCTCGAGGCAAGGGATATTGTGGTATGGGCAAATACGACACGTCTTTGGCGAGATCTCCCACTTCTTGGACCGGTTTTGCATGAGATGTTTGGTATGTGATCTGGGGAGCGATTCTTCAATGTCATCCTAGCTTTTTATGACAATCTACAGATATGTCGCAACGGTCGCAAAGGTTTCGCGCTTTCTTGAACACTATACAGGATAGAGGTATGATAGAGATCAAAAGCTGAGCCGCGAGCATAAGACAGACGCAGAGCCTCGAAAACCCCCGAGGAGCCGCTGTGCCTTCGCAGAGATTTCGAGCCCTCATCTTGTATCAGGCTGGAACAGCGCACGCACTCTAGCACTCTAGAGGTCAGGTGGAGCTTCTCCTTGGACTGAAATGACAACCAGCCAAGCTTTTGACTGCAGCGGATGGTATCAATCGCATCACCCTCACGACTAGGCTCGAGCCGCGGGAATAACGAGGGCGGCTCAGTGACCCCAACGATGTTGGTCATATCGCAATGGCTTTTACTGCTTGCTCTTGGCCTACGCGCAACTACCCTGAAATCATGCTGTGTGGCAGTCGCGATCGAGATGGCCGATATATAATTGGTCGAGGCCCTGCGTGGCTTCCCCAGGTTCTCCCCAAATCAAGGTACAATTCACATCATCGGCTTGGAACTGTCACCACGCCCTCGGAGGTCAAAAGCATAGAAATGTCTGTATAATAATACACTTGCTGATCTCCCATTATTCTCAATACTTCTGACGGACATTATCTCTCCAAGAAACACTTCCCTATTGTCGACTACCTTTCGCGCTTCACATCTCAACATGCGCCAGCCCTTGTCCGTCGCCTTGGGCCTTCTGGTCCTGCTTTTCAGCACTTTTGTTCTCGCCTCCCCAGTGTCCCCGAACCCAGCTTTCGACCTCATCAAACGCTCAGCCTGCAGCAACGGTATCAAAGTCAACTGCGGATCCTCAAGTGTCGGATGCTCCGGAAATCAGTGCACTGTCTGCTGTGACACTTGCTGCCAATGCGTTACATGTTCGTCCACTATTCCAGACATCAGGACTGATATACTGACCTATATCTAGCTCCTCGCGACAACTCGTGCAGTAGTTCTACACCACTTGTGAACCCTGACTGTAGTGGCAAGTGCGGATCAGGAGGTGGTTCGTCCTCCACAGGAGGCGGGTCGTCTTCGTCTGCCTCTTCTGTAGCAAAGCCGCCGAAGAACCCCATCCTCTGTCGCTATTTCCGTATTGGATGCTAGGATGCAGATCAGATTGTCGTCTGAAGGAAAGTCACATGAGGCACTGCAGCGTACATTATACAATCATCAAGTTGGTTCTGGCTGTCTTTTTACGACGAGTAACATACTTGATCTTAATTTCTGTAACAATGTGAGCTGGATCAATGGATGTGGATAGAATGGGATGCAAGATTGAGCGCGTTGCCTTGAGGCTATCCAAGAAGATCCCCGTGAGATGGCGCATCATGAACGTGTGGTCTGACCGAGTCCAGTCCACGGATCGATCCGCATCGAGATCGCTGCTAAGCAGAACCCCAGGCAGGACGACATAGAATCATGATGGTCATACTCGGCTCCAACCTCCGCAGGCCGATGACCAAGAGATCGAGACAGGAGCATCAGGAACAGGTAAGTGCACCAGATAAGGTTTGGTCAGGCACATGTAGATCATACCCGACACGGCAGACCTCCACGAGCAATCGCAGCCGAGGTCGATCGTCCCCCACGCCTTGCTTCTTGAAGCGACCTCTCTTTCTCCATCTCTATCTCTCAGCTGTCAGGTCGCACAACTAATCACCTCGCTTGACGTGACCATGGAATATCTAGTGTACATGAGACATACAACTGTCTACCTCTCACAAGTGTGCAGTGTCTGATGACGCCCCCATGCAAGACGCGATCATAATCCGTCGACAGCCGCGGACTTTGTGCCTGGTTTCAAGCAGACGGCGTGCGAGCCGAAACTGTATATTTAAGGTGCAGGTTCGAGATGTCACCGGCCACACGTGCGACAGCAGTTTGAGCTCCCACATGCAAGAATGCCTGTCGCAGAGTGGTCCTTTTGCTGCATTCCACATGCAACTTTCAACCTTACCAAGTTGTGTGGTCGCTCATCACATGCGCCTCACACAAAGATTGGTGGTTAACCTCTTCTATGATGCGGCGCTGCAGCCCCACGGCCTGCCAGATGATTTGATATCTCGATCGTGACTAGTGGTACCGACCAAGTTGATGGGCTTGAACTGATGACGAGGCAGACAGCTCCAGTCATAAAGAGTCCCTGGTCCTTTGTCCGCGACTCGATCAAACACTTGGATCTTACAAGCAACCATGACGATCAAGTCTGCTATGCTGACCCTGCTGGCATTTGTGGCAACAAAAGCCGCTGCACAAACCATACCCTCAGCGAGCCAATGTCCGACCGCAAACGGGCAGATCATCACGGACAGTAATGGCAGTACCTACCGTGTCACTTGCTCATCTGATAATAGCATCGGCTCATACACCAATACTCATGCGGCTGCCTCATATCTGGACTGTATGGTTGCCTGCAACACAGCTGCTTCGGCTGGATGTCAAGGCTTCACTTATGTCGGCGGTGCCAATGGCCTCAGTTCGGGCACTTGCTGGCTGAAGAAGAGTATGGGCACCTACACTACAGCGTTGAATACATACATTTCAGCAAATAGACTGGGCGACGCTGTGGCAGCATCCCAGAGCAGTGTCGCTTCAACATTGGTCACTTCCACGACGACATCTTCATCGACTCCTGTGTCGACCGTAGCACTTGCAGCTTCGACAAGTCTGTGTCCTTCCTCAAACTTCACCTCTTTCGCCGACTCGGCTGGCGATGATTGGCAGATTCTTTGCGGCTTCGACACCAGTCCCGGATCTTTCGGTTCGGTATCCGCTGCCAGCTTGCCAGCATGCATTCAAGCGTGCAAGACAACGACAAATTGTAACGCGGTAACTTACATCGGAACCTCGTGCTACTTCAAAAAAGCCTTTGCCTCTCTGATTACGAAGTCTTCGGCAAGCAGCGCATTCTTGATCAACTCACAAAACTATCCGATACCAGTGTCCGGAAGCGGTGCAGCGAGTTCTGGATGCGGTAAGGCTTTGCCAGCCGGTGTTCAGCTTGGAGGTAAATCGACCACTTTCCAGCTGACGTCGAATGGCCAAGTCCGGTCGTTCAATGTGCATGTGCCCACTTCTTACAAAAACAATCAAGCAGCGCCGTTGGTCGTTGCGTATCATGGACGCTCCAATAACCAGCTCTCAGTTGAGAGCGACTCGCAGCTTTCGAGCGAATCTTGGAACCCTTTTGCCATCGCTGTTTATCCTCTCGGTGCCAATGTGAGTTTGAATCAGCAGGAACCGTATCCCGAGACAATTACTCACCCTGCAACAGCTGGAATGGCAGGGAGATCCAGACACAGTTGGTGGCTCGCCTTACTACGACGACCTGGCGTTCACCGATGATTTGCTCGATTACATCTCAACCCGCTACTGTGTTGACACAAGCAGAACCCTCGCAGCAGGATTCTCCAACGGCGGAGGCTTCGTCGGTACTCTTGCGTGCGATTCAACACTATCCAAAAGATTTAGCGCTTTTTCTGTAAACTCTGGCGCTGAGTACACTAATACCACAGGCACTTGCAACCCTCCCTCCGTACTTACGAACACGCTTGTGCAATCAGTCTGCTCGCCAGATCGTGCGGACGTCCCGATGCTTGAGTTTCATGGCGATGCTGATGGCACGATTCCTTATCCCGGTGGCCCTCGGCGAGGATACTGTCTTCCATCAGTGTCGCACTGGGTGACTGACTGGGCTCTCCGCGACGGCCTGTCAGCAACCAACGTCACTACGTCTTTGGCCAGTGGGAAAGTGACAAAATACGAGTTTGGGGCTTCGAAGGGTGTGCAAGGGTTGGTTACTCATTACAAGGTCGCCGGATGGGGACATTCTTGGGCAAGTATCAATGCTGGAGCTCCGATTGATGCTACGCCGATTATTATGGACTTCTTTTATCGTCATTCTGGTTGAGATCTCCTCCACATTTTCGGCTGAACGTCGCACTCTGCAAGGATACGTAATGGGACCTCGACAATGAAATAGCATTTGTCTCTAGCGTTGGCCGGAATCTGACAGCTGAATACAACAAGCGCAGCGTGTACGTGACTGGTCAATCAATGAGGGCTCTACTGTGAAGATGAAGATAATGTGAGAACGTTCTTGTCAACACGTCTTGAATGCGTTAAGCTTGTATATATGCGGCTCTGCGACGCGAACTCAAAATGACTCACACTTGTGTTCGGGCTACCATTCAACTTTGTTCCACATACTCACAGGGTACTATCAACTCCTTGAATGTGCCATATCAATCCAAGATCTCTTTGAACTTTTTCCCAACCTCGAGTCACGCAGCTGCGTTTTGAATCAGTATACCGCAAAGATGTCACCTCCAGCCCTTCCAATTCATAAAGCAACAACGAAACAATACTACGCAACAGATTCACCCTGGGAAGCCAAGATTGGCTACTACCGTGCAGTCCGCCGTGGTCCCTTCATCTTCATCTCGGGCACTACAGCCGTCGACCCAAGCTCCGACCCAAACAACCCCAAGGTGCTTCATCCTGGCGATGCAGGCGCTCAAGCCCATGTGACCTTCCAAGAGATTATCAAAGCCATCAAAGCTTTGGGAGGAAAAGGAGCAGAAAATATTGTGCGTACAAAGATGTTTGTGCAGAAGCAGGAGGACTGTGGTGCAGTAGCGGAAGCGTACAGCAAGGTACTGGGGAAACAGAATGGTGATGGGTTTGGCTCGACTGCGACTATGCTTGTGGTTGGTGGATTTGTGGATCCTGAGATGTTGGTGGAGATTGAATGCGATGCCATGGTGGACGATGAGGCTTGAGATGAGATGGAGAGTTTCTCAGTGGCGTGCTGACGCATCGGCGCTCGTTCTTTGAGTCTGATGAGTTTACTCAAGATAGCTAGCTACCAGTCCTCCTTGATGATGGAAATCACCTAGATGCCCAGTATCTGCACACCCGGTATCACAACTTTCGTCGCAGCTATCAACCCTCCAACCCCATCCAACAAACCCACTTGACAACACAATCGCCCGAAACAGAGTCAGCGCACTCGGCGTCAAACCAGTCTCATCGCAAATGAAAAGAGCATCGTCAGTGACAGGTGAATGAAGCCCAGGATGCATGCCGCCAGATTGCGAAAAATAAATTGGTTCTCTGCGCTGACCTGCATAGCTCATGCTCGAATTGCATGTCCAACCGTGCACGTGACTGCAGCTGGGCTTTGCGTGTAGCGGTCCTGACGTGCAGTAGCTGTTCTCTGGAGGACGACAATCGCAGAGTGAATGCACTATATACTGAACTGATGGGAATATAGAAGCACCACAATTGTTCGGAGATGGGAATTGGATCTCCGCATCTTATCTAACCGTGCTGATCAGCGCGATCTCCGATCTCCGGCGGATGTTGCGTCAGGATACGGCTTGGCAAAGAGAGATTGTACGTAACTGGTGAGAAGAAAAAAACACTCATACCGAGCGGCATGGAATGATGAGTCGACGAAACATTTTGTACCCAACAAGGGTACGCCTTGTTCATCAACTTTACACAAGTCAGAAAAGATGAAATCGCCCATTCCCGATTACCTGCACCACGTGCTCGAGGTGGCGCGTCCCAACGACGGAGGCGCTGCTGCGGCATACATCGAGACGCTGGCCAAAGCCGACACGTCCAAGATGGCAGTAGCTCTGGCCATGGTCGACGGCAATGTATACTCTGCAGGAGACGACAGGGTCGAGTTTTCGATCCAGTCCATCGCAAAGGCGTTCGTATACGCCATGGCCATCGAGGACTCTGGGCTCGAGGCAGTGTTGAAGAAGATTGGCGTCGAGCCTTCAGGCGACAAGTTCAACCAACTCTCGCTCGAGCGCAACACGAACCGTCCGATGAACCCGATGATCAACGCTGGAGCCATCACCGCACACACGCTTGTCGTTTCGCCGACTGCGACGCTGCACCAACGGACCGAGCGCATTCTCCAAGCCCTGTCGCGACTCGCAGGCCGCCAACTACGCGTCGACGAGGAGGTCTACGAGGCTGAGCTGAGGACTGCCGACAGAAACATGGCTATCGGCTACATGCTCAAGGCTGCTGGTGTCATCTCCTGCGATCCTCAGGAGGCCGTCAGGGGCTACATCAGACAGTGCTCCATCAATGTCAACGTCCAAGACTTGGCCATGATGTCCTCCGTCCTGGCCAACGGCGGCATGCATCCTCTCACCGGAGAGCAGATGATCCCGCAGACGAGTGTCCGTCAGGTCTTGTCCGTCATGACGACCTGCGGCATGTACGACGCTGCTGGTGATTGGGTGTCCAACGTCGGCTTCCCGGCAAAGAGCGGTGTCGCAGGTGCCATCATCGGTGCTCTGCCCGGCCAAGTCGGCATCGCCACCTTCTCTCCAAAGATCGACGAACGCGGTAACAGCGTTCGTGGCGTCGCCATGTGCGAACAACTTTCGCGCGACATGGGACTACACATGATGGATGTCAGTCACGTCGCACGATCCACCGTCCAAACAAGTGTCTCCACCCTCGTCGATGGCGAACACGAAAACCACAACAAGAACTGCGAGCGCAAGGTCATCGTCTTCAAGCTAAGAGGTGCCGTACGTTTCCCCGGTGCAGAAAGATTGACAAGAGCTCTGTCGCGGGAACTTGGAGAGTCAGACCCTATGGACCCAGGATCTGGCGACCACCGGAATGCCTGCGCTATCGTCTTTTCCTTCCGTCACGTCTACTCCCTGAACTTCATCGCGCGACGACTCATCCATGAGAACATCACACGACTGCTGACCGAGCATAAAAAGCTGGTCATTATCGATCCTTCGAGCGTACTGGAGTGGGATCCCGCAAAAGCTAAGGAAGGCCGCAATCCCATGGTCGTCAAAGATGACACCGAAGCTCGAGACTACATTGGTGGCACCGGCTGTCATGCCGTGTCCCAAGATCCTGAATGGTGAAGAGCTTCTTCCTGTCATCTCGCCTTTTCAAGCGTTGCTGCAATTCTTCTAACGTATATATACCCCCATAATGATTCATGTTGTTAGATCTACACACACATTCGTTGCCCGTCTCTTATCCAGTCATCTTCCCGCAACCATCGTGTTGCGTTTCTTGTCTTTGACAAAATGTACGTGAAGTCGGGTACAAGGTGCTCGTATGACTTTCACAACATCAAGAATATGTATCCTGGAAATGCAAGCTAGTCTCTAGCTCCAGCCGATTCCAGAAGTACCTTGACAAATGAGTTTTGCAATGTCCATGGTAATTGAGCCGGAATGTCTTTTGGCAAACAGCGGTTCTGAAATTGTACCGGCAGGGTTTAGAGTTCTGCCAAAAACTTATCGAGATCGAGTTCATGAACATCCATTCCCTCCAACGCCACTCACGGCAGGAAACAATCGACCAGGGTGATACATCGCGGCATGTCTCCAGCTGGTAGTACTGTCGTCACTCTTGATCATGTCCCAAATCAGGCACGCGATGACATGTGAGCATCCACCTGCAGCCAATCCTGCACCTCCTCCAGTCAAGAGTCATCCTGCACCTCCTTCACCAAAGAACAAGCCTCCACCTCTTCCGCCCAAGGATCAAACTTGGCCTCTGTCGAACAAGGGAAATGGACCCCCACCAAAAGATCCACACGAGCCAGACCTCCACGCCCGTATCCGCCTCCTTCTCCGCCTTCATGGTTTATACCTACTCCTACTCATACAGTTCTTACATGACACTTGTATGGACGCTTCACTGGATTCACACACTTCTACAGATGTGTCGAAGCACCTTCTGTTTGGTCCTTTTACTATCCACGAGTTTTGATAGCTGTTTCGTACACTTGATTCCTTCTTTCTTGAGAGGTTTGTAATTTAGTTTGGACAACAGTCTCTCACAGTTGGAATCTTGAAAGCACACCGTATGATTGTGATTTTTCAAGTGCCAACGTTCTTGTACGGAAACCAGAAGGCTAGTTGACTTGGTGAAGCATCGATCGAGCTTTTATGACGGCGGGAATCAGCAGGAAGGCTTACAATGACCCAGTGTTGACTTTGATGGAGTTTGATGACCATAGAAAAGTCTCTGATGAAGTCTGGAAGTCATCGTAAGCCGATCCCAGGGATGCTCTCCGTATATGAACGAATGAGGAAACGGAGGTTTGAGTGCTATTGAGTTGTTGGGCTTCAAGTGACTTGCAATTTCAGTAAACGTTTGCTGGTACTGGTAAAATCTTGTCTTACCACATCTAGCTTCGCCAGTCCTGTTGAGGCGTATCCTCGTGTCTCTGTACTAGTTATCGTCCTTGACTGGGGTGCGCAGTATCTCTCCATGTCCCGTAGCTGGCCAGAATTGCTTCCAAAGACAAAGTACCACCTGTCGACTCTGGGAACTGACACTCAAACTCTGTCTCGCCGGCCAGAAGTCGGCCCAAAATTTGACGAACAGAAAAGACCAGTTGTTCCGAGCGAGCTTGCTCACCAACCTGAAAATTATCAAAATCTAACAGCCGTCTGCGGATATTACGTCCTTCATTAAGCATCTCGCAGCCTCGAATGAAGCTTGAGACCGCCTGGCACTCGACAACGAGCTTTTGACGCCCTTCTCGGGGGATATGCTCTGGTGCCAATCAAGAGTAGACTAGTTACTCAGCTTCGTCGTATCCATCAGCCATGATGTCAAAATGTGTCACTCCGACCAGAAACTCAACGTCTCTGCTCAACTCGTTAACGCTATTCGCTACGACACCAGACAAAAGCTCGACAACCGCATAAGTGGAATAGCCAAGCTCTCGAACATGTCGACGATGTAAGATCTGCGGGTCGAATTGTTCCAAGTTTTGCCAAAGCTCGTATGGCTTGACGGCATCGACCGGGCCGGGTAGTTGCCTGCCTGTGGATAAAGCATCGGAAAGCTGATATAGCACACAGCTGATCTTTTGCGCATGTATGTTTGCTGACTCGATCAGCTCACAGAGATCCTGCATCCACTGCCTTGCCGATATTGAATGTTGGTGATACTGAGCGTGAGGACCATGGGTTGACCATGCTTGTGTCGAGTATGACATCAGCGCTGTGTATTCTAACAGTCTAATTGATAGTCAGCGGATGCAAGATATCGGGGATCCACTATGGAGCTCACAGTGATAGTCGATCGAGGATGTCTTTGTACTTTGCAACAGGAAACTTTCCTCCAAGGGTTGGCTCGTATTTCTGCAAATAGAGACTGTGCCTGACTGAGGCATTCAAAGCCATGGTTTTGTGAAACATGGCCTTTCGTGCTTTCGCCAAGACGTAGCCCCTGCTTTGCTGATTTGTTGAGTCGCCTTCCGTTCCTCTGAGCCTAAACTTGAGGGTGTGATGAACGATCATGTTGTAGTTGGCGACTAGATGCATACTCTTCGACAGCTGATCTCTCATCAGACTCCTGGCCGTGATGGGATATGGGAGATATGTAAAGAAGATCGAAGCAAGAGTGCCCCATAAGACACACGCGACTCGAACAGCACAAACTTCGTAGGGCTTGTAGTATATGACGCCGCGGGCAGTGGCGGCCTCTACTCCGATTTTGTTCACTTGGGTCAGGTATCCGATGGAGAGTACCTCGGTGATAAGGATGACCAACCAGCCGATGATGTGGCGTGGCCATCTTATAAGAAAGTACATCTGGATGAAAGATGCGAACCACATCATCACGATCACGCCGCTAGTCACATATCAGCTGAGGGTATCGGCTCGGACTAGGCAGTACAATACTCACGCTGTGTTACCGTTGGGGATATACCAGACGAGGTAACAGATGATGAGGGCCGCTAACGAGCCAAGTATGCGAAGGACGTAAGAGACGCCAGATTGTCCTGCCGACATGTTCGCACCGATAGCTGCAATGATGACGGACCAGATCAGACGGTAGTGGGTGAAAATATCCTGGGTCGGATGGAGGTAAGCCAAAATAGCGCACGACATCGTAGCGCATGCAGACCGGAAGCCAAAGCTGAATTCGGATCCTTTGAGATATCGTTGAAGTTTTCCGAGTCGGACACCGAATTGCTGATAGACATTTGTGGGAGGAAGATGCTCTACGTTATGCGCCCCTCGCCTGGTCTGTCCAAAGATCAGTTGTTCCTCTTCCTTGCTGTTTGGTCGATCTTCGTCAGCAACGGCTGCTTCACTTGTATCAAAGACGCTCGCGAGCCATTGACCGATCACCTGAACCGAGGGACAGATGAGCCGATTGTGTGACATCACGCCTTGCGATACGAGACTGTCAGAGAACTTGCAGAGCTCGAGTACAGCAAGACCCGCTGTATATAGCTGTGGATTCTTCATCAGAAGCTGAAGGTGAATGTGCGGACTTGACCTACCATGTGATGGGTGTACAGAACTAGATTGAGTCGTGGATCATGCAAAGATTCGAGTTCTGATGAGCCATTCCCGTTGTCTATATCCGCTGTCTCTCGTAGCGTCGTTGTTCTGGCATCGGTGTGATCTTCATTACCCAACCAGGGTGTTAAAGAGTCAAGTCTGTCTGTTTTGAACTGTAGAAGAAGACCTTCGAGATGTGTTGCGAACTTGCGATCTCCAGGTCTCATCAGCTCTCCTTTTGACTCTAGATCAGGTTGATCTTCTGATCTAGCACGTCTAGACGACGTTGACTCCTGGATAATCTCCAGCATCAGTCCGGAATGCTCCAGTCCATCATCGATAGCGTTAATCAGATTGCTTGCAGGTGCAATGAGAGCACCAAAAGAGGTGGACCATACAGCATCGTCGTGCCAGGGAGACATCTTCGAAGTCGAGTCGGCTTTAATCTCAGGAGCTAAGTGATGAGGATCATCTACTGCCTTGTAGAGGTCTTTGAGGTGAGCTAAGCCACCACTAGTATACACTGTCAGCTTCTCACGATCTTGTGTATACGACGATGTACCCATCGACTCACATCGGCATGAGTAAGCGACGACACAGGTTACTAATCGAAGTGATGTCATCTGCACCCAACTTTCCCCATGCGACTTCGCGCTTCGCCATGATGAGTTCCGCATGCATCTTGACATACAGCGTCTTGAGGGCAGACATTTTTTGTTGTAAACTATCGCCCTGTTCATCGGTTGCACGAGTCTGGGAGTCATCCGGGGGCTGTTGTGGTTGAATGGCGTCTGCCAAGGATTCGGACACGTCTCCCATGCTTTTAATATAATTAAAAGCCTGTTGTAGAACACCTTGAGCCGAGCGAATGTACTTTTCTTGGACCTCAAAGATTTCGGAGCGACAAGTGACGGGATATATGAACATGCCGGAGACGAAGCTGATGGCTACACCAGTAAAATAGCAGCGAGTCGTGAGATATATGAGGTCCCAACACTGAGTCCAAGTTGTGAATCGTGAGCACGATGTGAATTGTACAATCATGAAGATGTTGTAGAGGATCGTGGGTATCAAAAGATGGGGATAGCGCGCTTGGATACTGTTGCTTAACCAGATGTGAAAGAACAGCCAGACTCCAGTGATTGCTAATGTTTAATCAGTTTAGTGTCATGAGTCAGTCCGTGGGAGATGTAGTCACCACTTTGAGAAGAATTGTACGCATGTAGGCCCTGGGGATCAGTGTGGTATCGCGCCTGGAGGCTGGACCATGTGGCAAGCATTGCAAGTGGGATTGCAATCGCCGTGAATGCGCATATGGTCAAGGTCATCTGTATCAGCTTCGCACGCGGTAACAGATTGACAGTAACGACCGCAATGATTGCTACCAAGAATCCAAGAGATTGATATACTTCAGAAGCGGCCGTACTTTGATAGAGTGCCAGTGATACAGCCGTTGGTATGGATCCTCTGTGGTGTTCAGTCAGTGGAAGTGCAATGTTGTGGAGAGGAATGGGCTCTACTTTAACATGAGGAGAAGCATGCGTCGATCGATTCCAAGAGATCTCCACAGCGCAATTGGACGTTGCGTCATGGTAGAGGTCATTGTGGAATGGAGGGTACAGAGAGGGCTGATAGGGCCCGGTGAGCACTAATGTCGATAATGGATGTCGGTGGTCATTCACGTATACTTATACAGAGAGTCTCGGCAGCAGGTTCCATCATTTCGACCGAGATTTTCACCAATCCGCTCATCGTTCGTGAACCGAGAGCATCCTCCGGTGATGTGGTACTCGAGATAACAACGCCTCGTTCGAGAACAACAGCAAGACGCCGAGCAAGGTGCGAAAAAAAAGCGCCTTTGCGGTTATCGTGCCGAAGATAAGCTCAGCTTTGCAGATCAATGCACAAGTTCATCGTGCGTTCCTACTCTTAGATCGGACGGGGGTGCGATGTTGGAGATCTTTGTCGACAAAAGAGGTGCGCGTGAGAGGCTGTCACCCAGACTTCGTACTCATCCGATTGTTCCGGGACTTCGGCCGAAGCTCGAGAATTCCTTCGGAAGTCCACTTCGGAAGACGACCCATGACCTCCATTCTACTCTGAACATGACAGTCAGCCAGCAACGCCACCGACGCATCAAGGGTACTTCACATCTGGTATAGTTGCCGATCTCAGAGCACCTCGCATCGCGTGCGAAGAGATTAGTCGTGAAGCCAAGATTCGAATTGGGAGCCGGACTTCCAGTACAAGAGCAGGAAATTGAGATGTCGTGTTGTGTGTCTAGAGGCCAAGGACACATTCCGACTGGACTCGAAGACCAAGAGCCACTTTCACCATCCTGCCGCTGCGGAGGTCTAAGCTCCGGGAACACAAGGATGCTAGGATACTAAAACGTATAAATTGATTGATCGCGGCGCATTCATTTATACAGAACCGTACTCCATTCACGACTGATAGAATTACCAGACCAAATTATCAACTGGCTTCAACGACGCACATCCCATCCCATGTACATACTCTTCCGCGTGATACTACATCCCCGCTGCTCAAATGTCCTACAGCTTCCTGTCTATGGCAGCAGCTCTCTTTCTCACGCTTTCCACCGTCAACGCGGCTCTATGCCTTTTCTCCGTAATGATGTATTCCCTGTACAGATAAGCTAGCCCAACTGTACCACCAGGACCAAGGGCGATTGTGAGCAGTGTCATAGTCGTCACCAATTCGAACCAGCTTTTCTCAAGCATACCAGCAGATTTGGCGTCCCAAGCAAAGTAAACAAGCCAAAGGTATGTTGATGCTACGAAGATGAGTAGATTCCACTGTACCACGTTGTCGGTGAAGGACTCTATATCAGTGACGGCCTGGAACGGGATCTGGGGGATGAAGATATGATATAGTGAGCTGGGTGCTTTGAAGACTGTCCAGAGCCAGACAGCCGTCGATACAAGAGCAGGTACAGCGATTGTGTATCTGATGGTTGAGACATCACGTTTTGGTGCGTAGATCTTGTCATGGTCGATGGTATCTTCCAAAAACTTGCTGATAGCCCACTGCGTAAGAGATTGCCAGATTGGGAAGAAATGCCAGATCTGCAACCAAGTCTGCACCTTGACGTTCACGGGCAGGAAGTAGTCTTGTAGAATGGGAAAGTAGTAGACCATCAAGAGCGAGGGCAGAATTGAGCGTGTATAGTTCAGTCTCGTCAGTCTCATGTCGGTGGCTTTGAAGGAGTCGATGGGTGTCAACACCCAGTGGAGAAAGTAATACAAGGGGGCCACGAGTCCGATCCCCTTCACTTGGGCGAAGATTGCGAACAGACTAGGTCTAACATTTGTCAGTCGTTGTCAAATTGTCCTGACATGGAGGTCACTCACAGCTGAACTGGCATCAAGGCGTTGCAACGACGGACAGACTCGATAGACCAAATCGCAAGGACCACGCCGAAGTAGGCTAAGAGAGTGGCAATACGATGGCCGGCAGCGGCGTCGAAGTTTCCCGAAGCAGAGACATAGACACCGGTCAAGACATCAGATCTGTTCAAATCAGCAGGAGATACAAGGATCTCATGGGCTCCGGTACTCGCCTGTTACTCTGTCCGGCAAAGCCCAGAAAATTTCCTGTCAAAGGCGGTACCAACTGTCCAGTGGCGTTCTGGGCGAAACCCAGGGAACTCTCATTTCCAGTGTTGATGAATGTAGGATTCGCGATACTCCAAGCATAGCCAAAGAGACCAAGGAAAGGTACTGCAAGCATAGCTCGGACAAGGAGGTTCTCCTTGTGACCATCACCCTGTTCAGGATTGAAGGGCAGGGTACCTTTGATGGATTGCTCCGGAGGTGAGAGATAATCAATCAGAGTTGCTCCAACAGCCATGTTGCTACCCAAATTCTCCAGAAAGTCTCCAAGAATGGTTAGTCCGTACTTTGCAAACAAGACATGGCCCCAAGTCGCATGAGCCTGGAGACGGGTGAGCAGACTCGAGGCATCGATTGCAGCTTTGGCCCGAATCTCGCGGTTTTTCTGGTAGTCTTGAAGACAAGCCACGATCTGATCTTCGGATGGTCGTGCTCCCTGAGTCTGATCGGCCAGCTTCTTGATCGAGTTGGCAAGAGCGGCAGCACTTTCGATTGCTGCGTTCCCCCCAAAGCCTATTTATCGTCAGCATTTTTCGCCTCTCGCATAGAACAAAAGCTTGCCAGCATTTGGAGTCATCTTATGAGAGGCGTCGCCGACGCAAGCAACACGTCCCCACGTCCAGATCTGGGTCTTATTAGCACATGTTCCATTCACAATAGGGTTTATAATACCTTGTACGAAGCAGTTTCGACTCCAACAAGCGTACTTGAAACACTATGTTTGTGTATATCCTTCAGACACACGCTTTCCGTAGCTTTCAGACCGCCCAGACGCTCTGCATACTCAACTTTGTCGGTCTCGGTGTACGTCGGGATATGAGGAAGCTTGTAGATCTCGTCCATCATCTCAAAAGCAAAGTAATAGGTGCGATCATCTTTACCGACGATGGTCATGAGGCTGCAGTTTTTGTTGTAGCCGATATGCAAGTCGCCGATGGTCAAGCCAGCAGAGGAAGAAGCAATCCCGTAAAGACACCGATACGAGCATTCGAGGGCTGAAATGCGGTCAGCCGAGCTTGAGATATCAAGTCAATGGGACCTTACAATTCTTATCGGCTTTGACCAGCTCGGAATCTACCTCATCCGCGAGGCGCCACATTTCGCTTCTGGCCTTCGAGTTGACACCATCCGCTCCTGCCAGGATATCACCGGTGTAAGAGGTATCGTCCTCGCAGATGACTGTCACTCCGCCAGAGTGTTGACGAACTTGCGAAAGTTTCTTCCCTACATGAATCTTGCTCTTGTCCTTGATGTTGTCGTACAATACCTGGAGGATATCTTGTCTGTCGCTGAATGCAAACCCATATCCAGACCTTTCTTTTGTTAGTAGGCATTTGATTCGGAGTGTTGTCATCATATTCTACCTGGATTTCATGAGTTTCGAAACCCCGTTGGGCTTGGTCAACAGTTTGCCATCGCTATCGCGATCATGGATCCATTGGATTGGTTCCTATTAGAGTCAAGCACTGCTCACGGATGTAATTTCCGGCGTCTTCACGTACCACACACGCGTACAAGGCATCTCTACAGCCTAACTGATCCATAATCTGTGCAATGTGAGCTATGTCGAGATCAAGAAGCTTGAGTAAGCTGGTACCCACCCTAGCCCCATTTGACATGATACCAATGGAAGCTCCCACCTGCGGCGCCAACTCTCGTCTTCTTTCAAGGAGGATATAATCGATGTTTGCTTGCTGGTCACATTGTCATTTGTATGTATGATGACGGATTGTCGGATCTCAAACCTCAAGAGCGTTCGCAAGCGTCAGACCAGCGATACCGCCTCCAGCTATGATGATCTTCATCGGAGCAGCCATAGTAAGAAATTATCGCGAGAGGGCCAACGATAGGTCGGAAAGAATCAGATTGAAGAATCTCGATCAAGACGTAGCAGAAGGGGGCAGAGGCAGAGATAGATATAGATGGGGATAGGTGAGATGATGCGGCTGCGGATTTCTCAGCCATAGCGCTTACTTGAGCTTGACAAAAAGGGAAAAAGGTACTACCTAAGTATGCATGGGTGGTACAAATTTGGAACATCAAACCATCGATTGCTAGCAGATGCAAGCTAGAGACGCAAAGCAGGCAAGACACCCACAGATGAGTAAACTGGTACTGCGGCAGAAAACCAAACTTGGGCGGGCAGATGGACAGATCGACGGGTAGTGCTGAGTAGAGGCACCGTAAGGAAGAGTGTAGAGATGTCGATCACGTGGGCGAAGGTCTCACCGGTCAATTCCATGACGGAGCGGCTAAAAGCTGGAGTGTAGATCGCTACAGGAGCAAGGATGCAGCAACGACGAACGTAAGCTCGCCTACTTACATACATCAGAGTCTCCTGAGGGCAATAGAGAGTGATGAAGGACAGGAAGGATCAAGCTGCAGCCCTGGAAAGAGGCGGGGTCTGCTGACGCCAAGATAGGTGCATATGAAACGCTGGGGTACAAAGATCTGGGAACAATACGCGATACCTACAAACAGTAAAGACTGTGAGTTAGCTATTGGGTAGGAAAATCTATCTATCCAGACATGCTACACCTCCTTCCTTCCTTTACAAAGCAAAAGTTCCTACCCAAAACACCACTAATCCCAACACTCCTCCAAACCCAATAAACATTTTCGCAGCATCGCCAGACGAAAGCCCGTATGGAGGTCGATTATTCGGATTCTCCTTTAACTGCGTAGCAGCGCTCACACTGGTCTCGTTGATGAACCTCTGACCAGCAATAATACTGATGTTTTCGAAGTGACCTGTCGTGCTCTCGAAAGCGACTGATCGGTCGGTGAACATGGGGTAGCAGACTCTGACTTCAGTGTCGTTTGCCAGAGTGAAGTTTGCAGGGCAGTTTCGGATTAGCCCATTGATACAGCGGTATTCTGGTGTAAACACGACTGTCAAAGTACTATGGTCAGCGACGTGGAAAATGGAAGAAGGGAGTAAACAGAACGGAGCGGGTTCGAAGATATAAAGAAAGAAGGCAAATCTTACCCCATCCACTGGTGCCCTGGTCGAAAGTGACAGTCTCATTTTCCATTGCTCCATAGCCCGCGGTATCGTACACCGCCCGAGAGTCTCCAGTCGAATTCCACATGGTCCATCCGACGGCATACCTCTGATCTGTGATCTGGGTGCCATTCGCAAATGATACATAGTTGTAAAGTTCAGACCATCCTCCACTGAGCACACTGCATGAAGTGGACACGTTGCTTGTATTGCAGACTACACCGCTTGAGATGACTCGATTGGCATCGGAATAAGAGACGTGGCTTGTGTTTGTGAGGGTGGTGAAGCCTGAGCAGACTGGAGTCGTGGGATCGCGGGTCGCATAGCCGGCGGCATTGGTCGAGGTGATTGTGCAGGTTGCGAAGAGAACCGCGTATAAAGCGGCGCGAGAAAGCATGATCAGATCGAAAGCTAAGTGGTGCCAAATAGGGTGTTCACGACGGACCTGACCATTCGATTGTACAGAGCCTGGGATGTTACTTACTCGTTAGCAGGAACGTGGCTCAATGTCTTCTACTCCCAGCTTTGTTTATATACACGATGATCAGGCAGATCAGAGGCACGCGTTTATGTCCTTGTAGGATTCGTGTTGCAGTCGCGTCTTGGCTTTCGCACCAAACGAGTGTCATTGCTGCTTGGCATGCTTCCGCGGATGTTGGTTTATGCTATTGATCGTGTACGAGGATGCGGCGAAGGAGTGTTGAATCAAGAAGTCGTTATTTCCAGACGACAGACTGCAAGCTGCTGTTCACGTGCGCAGTTGGGTACTGATCGACATGACGTTCTGTGCGGGCATGAAGTTGGAGACGTTTGGCGAAGGGAGATAGGACTCAGACCTGAGTCGCCGGGAGAAGTCTTCCTGTAGCCTGCCTTCTATTGCAGTTCTTCTATGCAATAGCATAGTTTGTCAGCATGAAGAAAGGTGTGGTCATGTCTCGTCTTTAGTCGGAAGAACAGACGGGCTCGGGCTCTGTTTCTTAGAAGCCGCAATGTGGGGCGCCAAGCTTTCACAGCAGCAGCCACTGCCGAAGCAGCTCTTCTACACTGCTCTGAAACAATGTATTGCTGTCGTTCGTAATACCGGGTTCCGTCCAAAGCCCGCTCCTGCTATCTTTGGTAAGCTGGAGTATGGAAGCGCAAAACCATCACCAAATACTCGGCAGCGAGATGGGGCGACAGCTGCAAAGCTGACGAAGCGGGGAGCATTACGTAGATGATGGTCCGATCCATCTGTAGGCATCGCATTGCTATATAAGGATCCAGGACGGGCATCAGCAAACGAACTCTAACCATTCCAACACAACACGATCCCACTGCACTACAAGCTATCCAAGTCTCTTCACACCAAATTATTCAATCATGTCCAAGCTCATTACTGTTTTCGGTGCCACTGGCAATCAAGGTGGCTCGGTCATCAAGCATCTGCTAGCCGATTCCACCATCATGCAATCTTTCAAGCTCAGAGGTATCACCAGAGACATCTCAAAGCCGTCTGCAAAGGCTTTGGCAGCCAAGGGCGTCGAGCTCAAGAGCGTGAGAAGCAAATTCCCCAATAGTTGGAAAGACACACACTGACATCGATACCCATGTAGGCTGATTTGAACGACGAAGCCTCCGTCGCTCAAGCTATCAAAGGCTCACACACAGTTTTCCTTGTCACAAACTACTGGGAAACTGCAAATCCAGCTACTGAGATCGCCCAGGGAAAAAACGTCGCTAATGTGGCTAAGAAAGAAGGGATCTCACATCTTATCTTCTCCTCCTTGCTCAATGTCACCAAAACCAGCAAGGGTAAACTCGCCCATGTCCCTCACTTTGACGGCAAAGCAGAGATTGAGGAGTATATCAAGGAGACCGGTGTCCCTTGTAGTTTCATCCTGCCAGGCTACTTCATGTCCAACTTGAGCCAGATGTTGCAGAAAGGTGAAGACGGGTCTTTGACTTGGGCATTGCCCATCAGCGATGACGCAAAGTTCCCTCTCTTCGATACGGCTGAAGACACCGGTAAGTTTCTACATTCATCTCGTCAAACTCGATTCAGAGAACAATACTGACATCATCAGGCAAATTCGTCAAGGCCGCCATCAAGTCTCAAAGTCCTCCTTCCGGCAAGCAAATCCTCTGCGCTACCGACTACTACACTCCCAAACAGATCCTGTCAGAAATTGAAGAAGTGACCGGCAAGAAGACAAACTTCTACAAGATCTCAAGCGAACAGTACAAGTCATACCTTCCCGAATTCATGGCTGAAGAGATGCTCGAGAACCATTTGTTTATTGAGGAACCTGGATACTTCAATGGTGCTAGTCTTGATGAAAGTCTTGGTTTGTTGGAGGAGGCTCCTGTTACTTGGAAGGAGTTTGTGAAGAAGAGTGGTGATTTCAATTGAACGCTCAAGAAGCGGTGGGCTGGTAGTGTCGGGATGTCTGTCCGGAGGGGTGCTTCGCTGATTTGGCTGGTAATTGAGCAATAAGTTTAGTCTGCAGTGCTACCTCCAGACAGCCTATCTACCATCTCATTCGATTCTTCCATTTGGTCTTTTTCGATTCTCTCAAGACAATAACAATCCAGATGGAGGGGATTTTGTGGCCCATAGGCGTGGTGGGAAGGTCAAGATATGCTTCCGTTTGGTGTCGTCGTGTTGTCCTGGACTGTTTCTAGGATCCAAGATTTTTCTGCTTTGCACACAAGATGTCTCTGGTCGAAAGCGAAGCAAAAATCTCATAGATTCCTGCCCATGTCCATTGTGTTGGGCTAGGATTCAGGTATGCTGGTTTGTCATTTTTCGAAGAGGAAGTCGGGCACGCCACTCTCCCAACCCTCGAAGCTATACTGAGTGACATCATCAACAAAGCCTTGCCAATTCATCCATGGCGTATTTCCAGTCTCCAGCCCGAGTTCGAAGTCCTGAGGTAGCGTCTCAAGATCGTTTAGCCATGTGTCGAAGCTCTCCGGTCCTGCGGTATACGGCAATGAGTTATTGAACCGCCAATTCAATGACGCGTCTTCCGGTTCGCTGTGCCCAGGCTCAAAAGAAGAAGAGATACCAGATGCCTGAGATCGACTAAGCAGCGGTGATTGCGTCTGTAGGGAAGACTCAACCTGTCCGTTGTGTCTGTCACGTATCTGTGAGTCAAAGTCCCTTCGTTGTCGAGCCATAGCCATCAACTTGACAAGAGGCTTCCACAACGGTCCTGAAGTCCCATCAGCGACTTTGGTGGCTTCGATTGCATAGGCAGACTCAGCCACTTTCCAGGCTCGATCGACCAGCATCTGATCTCCTTGACGTGCACTAAGCTCTGCCAATAGCACAGCCAGTGGATGCCATCCTGCAAAGCCCCTGAAGTACCAATGCCATGGTTTGAAAAGCTCGGATTGTAGCAGTAGGCTTTGTTCGAGAGCTTGCACGGCGCGTGATAGTACATTGCCTTCTCCCGAGACTGGTGTGATACATGATGGATGGCGTTGTAGCGGACGTATAACATATAGCTTCATGTATGACAGGATGCTCTTGCCGAAGTGTAGTATAGCATTCTGGAGCGGCACGAAGGGATCCAGAGAGCTGAAATACTGTTGAGTGAGATGGCGCTCTAGTGATGCCACGGCTTGATCGCGAACATGCAACGAGCTCTGCATAGGTGTCATCGGTCCCTTAGCTTCACCTGCCTGCAACTTGGTCAGATACTTCTTTTATGGCTGCTTCCTGACGCACTTACTGTGACAAAACACAATTCGCGAAGCAGCAGCTGAGTCTCCGCGACGAGTCTCAAAAAGGTCACAGGCCCCGCAGTCACCGTCTCGCGCTGCGTTATCAATGGTTCGCTGATACTCGTGCCATCGAAATCAGCGTCGAGTAGATCAAGAGGACATTGAGTATCGTAGCTATCAGACGCGATGACCGGATCGCTGCAGCGATCAAACGCTGCTCGTAGATCCAGAGTCAACAAGGTTTGCCATGTTTGTCTGGCTACTTGAGCTTGGAAGACTGTGAGGCTATGAAACGACTCTTCACGATGTAGCTTTAGCGACTGTGCGATACGCACGGCAAGTGATATCAGTGTCCATGTTTTTGCGCTGTGATCCTGCGTTCGGATGGCCGCCTTTTTAGTCTTGTCAGCTCGATGAACTCTGCTGTGTTTTCATAGTGACCTACCACGTAAATGATGAGAGCTTGTAAAGCGACAATGTTGTGGTTCTTGTGGATGTCGACTTGACGAATGTGATGTGCAGTAGTCTCTTGCCAGAGCCCAGAAAGCAAAGACTTGTCTTGCCCGAAGAATTCCAAACAGTCTGAGTCGGATAAAGAGCAGATTGCTGCATAGACGACTGCAGATCGTAAAGCTCCGCAAGAGTCATTGTCATCAGACTTGCCCAGATAGTGGGTACCGTTTTCCAGCGCGGACTTGAATGTAGGCAGATGAATAAGTTTCAGCACTGGATCCACACGGTAGGTGTAGACGTCCAGCAGCTTGCGCATCTGTTCCTTTGACAAGTTGAGCATCCCGGCGTTCGAATTCAAGTAGCTTGTGTTGCGAGACAGATTGTCGAAGGCTGTTTGTTCAACTGATTGGGGTGCGAGATCATCAAGATCATCTTGTGCTTCAATTGCAGACCGCAGACCATCGAGCTGTGAGTAGCACCAAAATCAGCATTGTACTGAACAAGACTCGTATTCACCGGATCGGTATAGACCATGCGGATGCACCATGGGTCCTGTTCGAAGAGGTGGAAGCAAGTTCCGATCAGACAAAATCAACTCAAGGCCACTTACCTCACTGCTCAACTGTGTCCATACCGACGCGCCCATGGTACGCCTAACATCCTTCCGAAATCTCGGACACTGAGACAGATCCTCAACTCCTATCGGGTGTTCGGCACTGTTGAGACCACCATGCTGTAGAACCACAGTATCTTCCATGCCTGATACTCCATGCGACGACTCCCCGACCGGCGGATCTCCAACTCCGCCCAAATCACGAGCCGAAAGTACAAGCTGTTCAAGTCTCTTAATCCTATGACGTAGATCTAGACTTCCCTCAGGTCTTCCGCCTTTGCGTCCCCGAGCTAGGCGAGCACGAACGACGGGGCTGCATGTCTTGCCAGATTTAACGCAGGCGGAACAAGGCTGCTGTTTGTCGCATCGAATCTTGCGTTTTGCGCATTGTTCGCACTGGAGCGCAACACCGTTTGGGTTGCCGCTTTTTTGGCCTGACAAGGTCAAAAGGTCCATGAGAGAATAAGAGAGCTCTGATCTGGCGCGATTGTTGTACGTTGATGAAGGAACGTTGCGAAGATGGTCATTGCCCATGCGATCCTTCTTATCGATAAGGATTTCTGCATGAGAGTCGAAGTATGCTCAATTGTGATCTACAAAGAAAGCTGCAACGTTGATGATTTGTTTCGCTTGATTACCGTGATATCATCTCTCATGATCGCCGTTTGATTTTGTTTCACCTTCCAATCGTTTCGACAATTTCAAAGTCCTCTTTCCAAAGTTCCCTCCCGAGACCAGAAGCCAAGGTGCCTCTCTTTCCTCATCCATCAACACCCTTGTGATCTCCTCAACATTATACCCCAGTTCAATCAGCTCACCCAACCATTCAAAATCAAATGCCAAATCTGCCGCCTTCTGTGTGAGAATATCTTTTACTGATGTGGCGTCTTGATCAATAACAGCTTTCATCAACACATCATCAGTGGCTGTCAAGACGATGTTCTGTAGAAGAGAAGACGAGCGTTGGCGACGCAGTCGAAATTCGGCCTCTTCATGTGCACTCAATATGCTTGCGATACTTGCATGGTCTTCACCAACTGTGTCGTCTATGACGAGGGACTCGAAGCTGTCATGGGATTTGTGGCTCAGTTGCAGAGCTTTCGTGCCATTAGTGGAGTTGACTGATGGGTCGTCCGCCCAAGATATGGTCTTTGCGTCCGCAGATCCAGCGGTGTAGTTATTCCAGGTCTTCCAGAAATCGTGTGCTCTAGAGGGGTATCTTTGAGTTGTGATGTTCGCCATCTCTGCTAGGCTCTTCTCGTTGTTGGCGCAGTTTGGACCTTCGAAGTCAATCACATTGGCTGTAGTATCAGGAACCCTTCTGTCTTTGAGCGGTAGTATAGCTGTGACATTTTTGAGAGACGTGGATATGATGGGCAGTCGAGTGATGACTCGACCAAAAGGTACATACAGAAGCGCTTCACAGGATCCGTAAATATCACCAGATCCAGTACTCGTCGTAGGTGTCCGGATCGACTTCTTTAGGAAAGAGATCTGCCAATGGATATCCTGAAACACACATTGAGACGGGAATACTTTAGCGATAGATTGGAGGACCCAGCACAAGACCACGTTGCTGAGCACATGGTTCGGTTCCAGTGTTCCGCTGAGAAGTCGCGGAACCAGATACAGCCAGCTTCTCGGGAAGAATTGACAGCGTTGTCTTCCGATGTCGTAGTGACAGCCTGGGAACCATGCTTCGTGTATCTCAGGTAGCAGTGCGTGACGTCCCTTGGTCACGGGACATGGCTGGAGAAAGGAGAGGCGGTCATGTATGGAGCAAGCATGGAACAGGCTCTGCACGACGCTCGGTACGACTTCGTCATGGAGTCTTGGCCAGGTAGTGTCCGCTGAAGTGTCACCACAATCCTGCTTGGAGCTGCCGATGGTATCCAGAAGAATCATGACTTTGATAGGCGTAGCCACATCCCAGCTAGCTCTTTTGCGGAAGTCTCGACACTGGGCTGAGGAGGGTCTGTCGTTTTTGCGAGGTGATGCATAAGTCTGATAGACCAGTTCGCATAATTGATGGTTGGGGTCCTTGACGATGCCACAATTGTTGATGATGCCAACGACGAGACGCAAAGTATAAGCTCCTCGACCTTGACCGAATAGCCATACTTCTGTTCCTGATCGATACCATCTCGCGATATAATGATATATCTCGAGACAGAGTTGCTTGATGTTGTCTGCTCGTGCACCTATGCAATAAGTCAGGTAATTGCAATCGATACCATTGAAGTACTTTGCTCTGAGACGACGTGAAGGATCTATAATCTCTCGTGAGCTACTTCCAGTATCCATATCGATACCGATCATCTCGGCAAGGAGCTGTATGTTAGTCCGCGTGCCATGCTCAGGACCGCACCAAGTGCCATCGCAGAGCACGATGAGTCGCTCGGGCGATGAAGACGATGTTTCTACAGCTTTAGATACCATGGCCGTGCCGTCAAGAGTAGTCATTGAAGCAGATATGGAAGCGCAAGTTGGTAAGGCTTGGAGATCGATTCAGGTTTGCTCCACCTCTTGGACTTTAAGGTACATGCATGACGGCCACCCTTGTACTGCGTGTGATGAGCTCGCCGAGGTGATATGATAGCGTGTAGGCAGCCATCTGAGCTTGACCTTGCCTGCTCAGAGATATTCAGACGGTCAGGTGTATTCATCATAGCTCGAGCCACAGCTTGTCGAGCCGTGGACAGAGCTCGCACAAGAGTGAAGGTCCGCAGTTGGAGATTCTAGTGGATAGCATGACAGCGGCAAGCGCAGCCGGCCGAGCATTCGGCTACAGCTTCCCAAAGCTCGGCATTGGGTATGACGTTCTAGAAAGCTCCAAAAAGTTGACCCGCATCTCCAGCTTCTGACGATCAACACCTGAACTTGTGTTTGTTCTTGATTCGACCTCTGCACTCCCTCAACATAGCATTCAGAATGCCTGGAAAGTGTGTACACAAAGGCTGCGGCAAGACCTTTGCCGACGACAACGAAGAATGTGTTTATCACCCTGGTCCAGTAAGTACCACGAGCGGTGAAACTCAATGGGAAGCACAACTGACTCTGCTATAGCCAGTCTTCCACGAGGGTCAAAAGGGTAAGCCTTCATAACTCACCCTTAGTCGAATCTCGACAGTCAACTGACGATTAATCTGCACAGGATGGAAATGCTGCAAGCCCCGCGTCTTGACCTTTGACGAATTCATGACCATCCCACCCTGCACAACCGGAAGACACTCCACCGTCGACGACACCCCCGCCGAAGAACCCAAGACCACTGCCGCCGACGCTCCGACTCTAGCTCCTCCTACTGCTGAGCCAGCAGCACCAGGCCGCGCCCCCACAGCTCAAGCACCACAAGCACCACAACCGCCCTCCTCCCCCGCACCCCCCGAAGACGAAGACGACGACCCCTCCACCCCCATCCCTGCAAACGCAACCTGCAAGCGCAAAACCTGCGGCATCACATACACCGGCTCCCCCCGCAATGACGATGAATCCTGCACTCACCACCCCGGCGCGCCAATCTTCCACGAAGGCAGTAAAGGCTGGTCATGCTGCAAACGCCGCGTCCTAGAATTCGATGAATTCCTGCGCATCCCCGGCTGTGTTACAAAACCCCGCCATCTCTTTGTTGGCGCGAAGAAGGATGATGGAGAGGAAAAGTTGGATTCTGTGCGTCATGATTTCTATCAGACTGTTGATAAAGTCATGGCGAGTCTGTATTTGAAGAAGATTGATAAGAGTATCTCCAAAGTGCACTTCGAGGAAAAGGCTGTGGAGTTGGACTTGAGGACGACGGATAAGAAGAGGTTCACGCAGCTTGTGCCGCTGTTTGGGAAGATTGATGTCGAGAAGAGTGAGTTTAGCATCATGGGTACCAAGTTGGAGTTGAGACTTGCAAAGGCCGACGGTGCTTCGTGGCCGGTCTTGCGTGGGGATGAGAAGCATGCCGGTGAGATCATACAGATCGGTCGTGCTGGAAGAGCATAGTCGAGAGACGAGGATTTGCAATCGGAAAGGAAGAATGGCCCATTGTGAGAAGAAACATAGCATAGTTGGAAGTAATGCAAACTCAATCAGAGTCACTGTGATTACAGCAATGCATCGATGATGAAACGATGCAGCAGAAACAAAAGAAAAAAAGTCCTTCCCAATCCTCCTCTCCCCAGGATGAAGAACAATATGCCCATGGCTTTGCAGACTGCCACGTCCTAGACTTGCGCTGATCTTCTGACCCCAGCTTCCCCTACTGCACAGGAGCAGCAGCAGCAGGAGCCTCGAACATATCGTCAATCCCATCCTTACTCTCCTCCCCCTCCTCACTATCCTCCCCCTCAGCCTCCTCATCCTCATCCTCGAACCCCGTCTCCAACCCACCCCTTCTAACCCTCTCCTTCATCTCCTCCCTGTTCTCCTCCTGCCACCTCATCAACGCAGCAGCAGCATGAACCCTAAATCCATAAATCCTAGGCTCATAACGACGTTGAGTCTTGGGAGGAAGCATGGCCGGATAAACTTGAAACAAGATGTTGTGGAAGGAAGTGCCGAAATAGGCGCCGTCGATGGAATTGTGACGGGAGGATTTGGGCGTGTAAATGTCTTCGCATTTTGCGCAGTAGAGTTTTACGGTCGAGGTGCCGGGGGTGTCGTGGAGGCCCATGGGGAGGAGGTGTTGTTGGTCGCAGATGACACGGGGGCATTTTCCAAAGACGCCTTGTTTGTACTTGTCGAGCTTTTTGGTTTTTTGCTATTAGCTGAAGTGTACTTGAGAGCTTCTTCATACTTGTTTTGTGACATGGAAGTAATTTTGGAAGATGAATGGGGAATTCTCACCATCTTTGCGAGACCTCTAGTCGTCACAATGTAGCGCGCATGCACAAGACCGTAGAGGTGTCTAGCGCTCTTTTCGATTTGCTCACGCATGTCGTCGTCGACTTCCATATCGAAGACATCAGTCACGAGATCGAGCGCATATTGGTAGTATTGGACCTCCGTGTTAAGACCAGTCAAGTTGAAGCGGTCGGTGAGGTAATCCTCATCGATCTCGCAGTAGTACTCATTGCCGCGTGATGAAATGAACTATGTTGGGAAATGGTTAGCTCTCTGGTGCTATCTGATGAGGATTCATTGCGGCAAAGCAGATGTGCAAGGGGAGCGTCAAGATGGTAAGGATGAGTTGCCATGTCCAGAAGGTAGTAGCGACGCCCTCACAGGAAGTGCGGAACGGATAGTCTCTTGGACACAGTAATTGATCCCAACTCAACGCTCCTGAAAAGGGGGTAGGGTAGAGGCTCAAGGTGATAATATGCAATGTGCTTGAAGACTTTCTTGATGCGCATCCAGTCCATTGCGTCGGCTCCGTGAACGTTGGCCATGTCAGTGTTATGCGCGCGAGAGATGCAGTCGCACAAGACGTCTCACCAATAACATCTCAAGTCGTGGCATTCCACGCTGCCTCACTGCAAGAGTTGAGCGCTGGCCGTCCGGCGCTCCCGCCAAACCATGGCACGCCGCATGTGGTCGTTTTCACGCGGAGCCCACTAACATCTCTTGATTTGCGCAAAGTGCAGGAGAACATCTGGGAGAAAGGTCACATGGCTATAACGAAAATTCACTTACCCAATCCCGCCAATAGCTGGTGTAGTCGCTGTCGGTCTCGCTGGCAAAGTTGTCCATGGTTCGTAATCCTCTCTCCCCGGCGCGGCCGCGAAAATGTCAGGGTCCGTGAAGACCGGCGATTTGGGTGCCTCTCTTTTCAAACGTCCGATGTCGAGTTTATTCGCTGAAGAGCGCTCTTATTCAGTGAGCTTGACGCGAGTGAATGGCGCTTGTTGTGGCGAAGATTGGAAATGTCGCGGTTGGGCTTGATGTGTGGTTGTTTGGCTTTGGATTCGAGGCTTTGCAGGAAAGAGATGGAAGGCGGGTTGGGCGTTGCTGGGAGAATTGACGAGTATTCATACCACATTTACTCAATACAATGCTCCATAAACCATACATTACCTTGATTTGATTAGGAATTTTGTCTTCGTTGCACGCTCGGAGTCATACGCTTCGGCGAAAAACTATGGCTGATCAAGAATATTCAGAGAAGCTCACTGTATTGTGCTGTCTTCTTCCTGATAGAGCTTCAACAATAGCTAGTCACTGCAGAACATATTAAAACATGCAGATTCGATTTGAGAAGAAGCGCGTCAAAACAAAATTCTGTTTCGTGTATTTGTTGATATCATGCAACTTTTAGCCTAGGTATCTTATGCAGTCATGTCTCCATACAAGTCATCCCAAGCTTTAAAGCGAGAGGTTCCACAGGCCGTCACCAAGGTAGTGGCCATTCTCAAGACCAACACCCTTCTTCTTCTCCTTCATGTCCTTGGTGCTCATCTTCAGCACACCGACCAAGCAAGCACTTTCCTTGCCCTCGGCCTCAACAACAACGATATCACCCGCTTGCAATTCTTTTCCTCCGTAGCCATCGTTGGCCTCCTTGTCGTCCTCACTGACAGAAGGGTCCGGTAGACGGCCACCAGGAGATGTGAGACCAGGAACCATGAGTGCGGCACCTGAGAGGACGAAACGGATGGCACCACGATCAATTCGTATCCTGTCAAAGCATTGAGGATACTTGTGGACGAGGGAGAGATGAGGTATCAGAGGGTCGTCCATGTGTTGCCAGAAAAGAGGAGTGGTGCCCAGGACATAGAGAGAAACGCGATCGGGTCTAGAGAGTGTGTGGTCAGTACTTTGTCATTGGAGGCTGGCACGCTCAAGCCGGCGGTGTAAATGCAGACTCGGCGATTCGACACTCGAGGGCTGCATTCAGTATGACTTGACATACACTTTGACAAGATCGATCTGTTCCTTCTTTGGCATAATCTCATCCATGTAGGGCTCGAGGCGGGGGTAGGTCTCGATGGCCTTTGCGCGAATGGCGCGCTGGGCCGACGACTTGACCTTGCTTTTGGCGCCAGGTGTGAGACTAGACGTGTGTGAGCTTCTGCGTGATGAGCCATCATATCTGACTCACTGACTCTTTTTTGAACATGATTGTGGTGAGAGTGTATATGACAACAAGGGCGAGTAGCAACAATTCCAGCAGGGTCGTCACCGACTGGCGCTGCTGCCCCACCACCATCGCCGACCGCCTTCGACCCCGCGAACGCCAAGCGACTGCGCATTGTTGCCGCCTGCCACTTTGGAAGCTTCTGGGCACTGCATGCCGACGCCGTGCTGTCCTCGATACAATTGTTATCCACCCCTTCCCTGCCGCTCCTTGTTCCTCCACACAACACCAACATCATGTCCGACTCAAGAAAGAAGCTGGCGCTGGCCATCATTGACTTCCTCAACACCTCTCTCAAGGACGGCACTCTCCAATCAGACGACGCAGAGTCCGTCGAGATTGCAACCTCATGTATCGCAGAGGCATTCCACGTCGACCCTACCAACAAGACTGCCATGACCGAAGCCCTGGGCGGTCAAAACCTTCTCAGCATCTACGGTGTCTATGAGAAGCTGAAGGGCAAGAGCACCGCCTCTACTGAGGGTTCAAGCAGCGCCAAGGAGGGTCGCCCTGCTACTCCCACCAGTTCCTCCAAGGGCGCCAACGAGAAGTCCAACACGCCTACTCCCGAGTCTGAGTCGCTCAAGGCTCAGGGTAACGCCGCCATGCAGAAGAAGGACTACCAAACTGCCATCGATTACTACACCAAGGCTCTTGAGATCGCCCCTCTGAACACCATCTACCTGTCCAACCGTGCCGCTGCCTACTCGGGCGCTGGTCAACACGAATCGGCCAAGAACGATGCAGAGCTCGCCACTGCTGCCGAACCCAACTACACAAAGGCGTGGAGCAGACTTGGTCTCGCACGCTTCGCTCTTGGAGACGCTCAGGGCAGCATGGACGCATACAAGGCCGGCATCGATGCTGAGGGCAACGGTGGTAGCGACGCCATGAAGCGTGGCTACGAGACTGCCAAGAGAAGAGTTGAGGAGGAGGGTGGTCTGACCGAGGAGGCATCTCGCGGTGCTCCCGGCGGTGGTGCTGGTGGCATGCCCGACCTCTCAGCCCTCGCAGGCATGTTCGGCGGCGGCGGTGCAGGCGGTGCTGGTGGTGCCGGTGGCATGCCCGACTTTGCCAGTTTGATGCAGAACCCCATGATGCAGCAGATGGCTCAGAACCTCATGAAGGACCCCAACATGATGAACAACCTGATGAGCAACCCTCGCGTCAAGGAGATGGCCGATCGCTTTGGTGGCGGTGGTGCCGGCGGCGCTGGTGGCCAGGGTGGCGGTATGCCCGACCTCTCTAGCTTGATGAACGATCCTAGCATTGCAGAGATGGCCAAGAACTTCATGGGAGGTGCAGGAGGTGCTGGCGGCGCTGGCCGTGGAGGCAGATAAGGTTAGGAAAAGTCACGACATGTCTCAAGGAAGCGATGAAATTTCATTCAGTAGGCGCCATGATAGACGCAAATGATACCAGTCCGAGCATGATCATCTACATGCATGCATGCGACACTTGGGGATGTGTAGTACAGTAGGTTATTTAATATACAAAGAGGCATGACATGACCCTCCAACCAACGCCGTGCCGATTCTTTTGTGGGCATGAGAAAACTGTACAGATTGGCCAGCCGTTCGAGGCTTGCAGAGAAAGGCAAAACGACAAGAGCAGGCGAGAAGCGATCAACCCAATCTTCTGGGCTTGGGACTTCTGGAACCACCGAACTTCAGTCTCGTAGCATCCTTGACTGAGCGAATCTTGTTTCTGATCAAGTAGCCCTCGGAGCCCAGCAGAGCCTTTGTGACGGCCTCTCTTCCCTTTCCGAAGCCACGCAACACAACCTCCAGCTCTATCAGGTCGCGCATCAGACCACGCTCTTGGATCTGCTTGAGCACAAAAGCGGCAAGTTGGTATGCAGCATCATAACTGCCACGACCAGCCTTCTTGAAACCAATGTTGCCAGCAGAGAGAGACATCAAGACGTCGATTTGCTTGCCAGGATTTGCAGGATCCTTTTTCGGAGGTTGGGTGAGGGTAATGTGGGTGTTGTGCTTTGTGGCATAGACGTGCATGCGATGCGGTTCTGTGACTTTCATGATGGCTTCGACATCGGGAGGGCCGGAGGTGTTGGTTTTGCCGAGTTGTTCGAGCCAGTCGCCCATGGAGGGAGTGCCGCGTCTGCTTGTTATAGGTGCGGCGGGCAGTGGTGTGGTGGAGGATAGGGCGCGGGTGAATGGTGATGGCAAAATCGATGAGGGGCGAGCGGCCAACCTAGCCAGCGGTCGGAAGACGTTCATGTTTGCGATGTGATTGGCGACAGCGAGGGAGTCTGACGCTCGTAGCTGTATACCTGCGTCAGGTCTGCAATTCTTTGGGCGGAGGACGGAGGACGGAGGACGGAGGAGAGCATTGCGGCGGAAGTCGGGGCTTTGCGAGGGCTTGGCGGCCTTTTTTGATCTCGCCGCCGCTGTCGCTGGCCGAATGTTCGAGAGCAGCTCGACTTGGTCGCCTTTCGCCGCATCCTCTCTCTCTCATACACATCACACCACAGCATGAGCTCGTTAGGTCGACAAGTGCTCTTGCCCAGAGCTTCTAACAATGTCGCTCGTAATGCGCCGACTTTCCACGGCCGAACGGCTGCATACCGCCGGATATCTACACATGTCATGAACCGCTCGCATGCTGGAGCCTCGCCCTTGATCTCGTCCGCTACCTCTACGCCCTCGAGACTGTCGTCACCCTTCCTCCCTGCCTCTGTTGCCACCACTTTCGTCCGTTCAGTCTCGTTCAAGGAAATGCAGGCTGAGCGCAAACGTCAACGTGCCGCGCAAGGATCTGCTCCCAAGGAGGAACCCAAGCCGGAACCCGCTGCTAAGCAATCAAAAGATGCCGAGACAAAGTCTGAACCTGCTGCAAAGGCTCACAAGGCCGACGAGCCCATGAGCGAAGCCGAGAGAATCTACCAGGCGACCGCTGCTCGCGATGCTGGTGCTTACCAGCCCGACCCTGAAGCTGAGGCCGCTAAGAAGGCGAAGGAAGCTGGAGCCGAGGGCGAAGCAGCTGAAGGTGAAGGCGAAGGCGAGGCTGCTGGAAAGAAGGAAAAGAAGGACAACAAGCCTCCCCCACCAAAGCACGGCAACAAGACCCCATGGCAGGTCTTTACCGAGACCTTGAATGCAGAGTTCAAGGAGAGCAAGGAGTGGAACGAGGGAACCAAGCAGTTGTCCGGAAGCATCCACGACTTTACAGAGAACCCCAATGTGCAAAAGGCCCGCGCAGCATACGAGAAGAGTACTGGTGCTCTTTCATCGGCTGCTGGTAGCACAATCAAGACTACCGCTGGAGCTATTGGCAAGAGTGCCGCCTGGACCTGGGACACCAATGTCGTCAAGGGTATCAGATACGGTGCTGGTGCAGTTGGCTCAGGACTGGAGAAGGCCACCCGCCCCGTCAGAGAGACTGAGGCTTTCAAGAACGTCAAGGAGGTCATTGATGATGGCAGCTCATCGCGCTATGGTGGTTGGGTCGAGAAGGAGGAGCGCAGAAAGCGCAGAGAGGCAAGAGAAGCAAAGGACATTGCCGAGGGTCGCAGACCTGCAGGCGAGCCCTTGGTCGAGGATCCCGAGTAAGCCATTCTGCAAGTCACATGCATGCCTAAAGCTAACAAGTACAACAGTGCTGGAGTCAACGTCACCGTTCACAAGGATGCCGCCTGGAAAGAGTCATGGCGTGAGTTCCGCGACAACAGCAAGACGATGCAACGCCTCTTTGCCTTCAAGTCAACCTACGCCGAGTCAGAGAACCCTTTGATCTCCACCGCCCGCAGTATCAGCGATCGCGTCGCTGGCTTCTTCGCCGAAAACGAGACGGCCAAGGTCATCAAGAAGTTCCGTGAGATGGATCCTAGCTTCCAGATGGAGCCTTGGTTACAAGAGATGCGCGAGTACATCCTTCCTGAAGTTCTCGATGCCTACGTCAAGGGCGACACCGAAGTTCTGAAGCAATGGTTGAGCGCGGCACAATACCAGGTTTACGCCGCTCTGATGCAGCAGTACACTCAACACGGTCTCGTCTCTGATGGCCGCATCCTGGATATTCGTAACGTTGACGTACTGAACGCCCGTCTGCTGGAGCCTGGAGACATCCCCGTCTTCGTCATCATGTGCCGTACACAAGAGGTGCACGTCTACAAGAACAAGAAGACCGGCCAACTCGCTTCTGGTATGGAAGACAAGGTCCAACAAGTCACATACGCCATTGGTGTGACCAGACTCCCCGAAGATGTCCACAACCCCGAGACCCGCGGATGGAGGCTAATTGAGCTCCAGAAGAGCGCAAGAGAATACATCTAAGCGCCTTAAACCCAACCTCTACTCTAGCGTCACTTTTTTCCTCGCATCACGCTCGACGCCTACCTTCAGCTTTTTGCATGTCGAGTCATCATGTCTCTGTATGAGCTCTCTTTGTTACGGCGTTTTTTCTTTCCTGGATCACACTCTCCAAACACTAAAAAGCGCTTTCGGGAATGGGAAAAATTGTCGAATCTTGTTGCCTGGTCGAAGGAGAATATCCTTGTGTACTCTTAAAGCATTTCTCATGCAACACTTCTGTATTATACAATTTACGCTTCTGATGTATCCACCTTTTTTCTTTTCGAGACTTCTGTCTTCTTCTTGTTGTGACGACTGCATCCGTCGGATCGTATTCAGAATCCTTATCTCAAGCTACATGAAGGAGGTTTAGCAAGACCTCGGAATATAATGGCAACTACGTTTCGGAGTCGAGCTCTTTGGTCCCTGAAGTAGGGGTGCCTTGGTTACGGTAAATCACGCGTAAGTCACAACCGTCACCGTCCGGGGTTATTTACCTCATTTTTGCGTAACTTTACCGATGTGAACCGTGCGAGCTTAGCGAGCAACGTCCTCTTAAGCACCTTGTTCGTAGTATTAACTAGTTCGACGATAGATTAAGTAGTACTGCTAAGGGAGAATAGTGTTTCGAGGGTTAAGAGAAGGGTATTCCGTATAGTATAAGTAGTAGCTCCGGCTCGAGATAATGTACTCTCATCGATTATTATGCTTTATAGAACCGACTATACGAACGACTAATTCCTTACTTTTATAGTCGCTAGAAAGGAGACTACTCGCTATCGCTATTACGTAGATAAGTGCTACGTAGGGAGGTTAGTTAAGAGGAAGTCTGCTTACCTTCTATAATATTAACCGTTCCTTAATTACATTAAGGACCTAAATAGGAGACGCCTTAATAGTAATGCTTCTAGAAGGTTAACCCTTCGGGTAATTCTATTAAAGTACACTAGAGACTTAAGAATAGAAGTACTAGATAGTAATAGGGATATAGAAGATAAGGTCCGCGAGGAAATAAGACGTTAGAAGTTATATAGACTATTCTTAGCTATAATGCTATAGACTAGTATACCTTTCTACTCGTTTAGTAATAACGTATAGAGGGAGCTTTTTAAGGAGCTTAAATACGTACCTCCTAGTAGAGATAAGCTCTCTAGCGAGCTTCTAGAGTTATCGTATACTAATATAAAGAAGAAGGTTAATCGGATTATTAACTCGTAGGGTAATAGGTATTATCTAAACTTTATTAGCG